TGAGTTGAGAGCACTGAGCGTCGGTACAGTATCTCGCAAGTGTCTGTTCTAGACCACACTTGAAAGTAGACTAGTTATTATTCGATTGATTGATGAAGATTAAGCCACCCAAAAGGTGGCACGGGCATGAATAGCCCGTAAGTGGTGGCCCTTTTGAGCCATTACCAGTATCAAGAGCTGATACTGGAGATCTGTGGAGGTGCGAATGCACCCTGCATGACGGGAGATGTCTCCTTTGTGAATGTGTTAAGATGAAGATGAAGCCCCCCAAAAGGTGGCACAGGCATGAATAGCCCGTAAGTGGTGGCCCTTTTGAGCCATTACCAGTATCAAGAGCTGATACTGGAGATCTGTGGAGGTGCGAATGCACCCTGCATGACGGGAGATGTCTCCTTTGTGAATGTGTTAAGATGAAGATGAAGCCACCCAAGAGGTGGCACGGGCATGAATAGCCCGTAAGTGGTGGCCCTTTTGAGCCATTACCAGTATCAAGAGCTGATACTGGAGATCTGTGGAGGTGCGACTGCACCCTGCGTGACGGGAGATGTCTCCCGTGAGTTATTATTCGCCACTCTGCTGCTTTTATGCTTGGGCAACACCTCACCGTTCTCCAAAGATTAACAGGAATAGTATGTGGAAGTTGGGAAAGGTTTGAGTTGCATAATTAGTACCAAGAAGAGCTTTGCTTCTCTCATTAGGCTAATGCCTTTGGAGTGAGTATATTATTGGGATAATCTACTTGCTACACCCATATAGGAAAGAGGTGCATGAGGAAGAGGAAGTGGGAGAGGGACTGAGGGATTGGTAGGGAAAAAAGTTGGAGAGGGAGGGGGAAGAGATACTTTGGTGGAGCCACATACTTCCCCTTTCCTAGTATTATAAATTAAGCAAATAGAAAGTCAAATAAAACACTTATTTACAATCCATTTAATAATACAGGTTTCCATAAGACTGTAATGATAGGAACAACTACAGCTGAAACTTTAATTTTAAGTTCTTTCCGGCAGTTCATTTAGGTTATCTACGTTAAACGATCTTTGAGTGAGTGGCCGATTTGTCACCAATCATATAACATGATAACAGCAGTCATCTGTTACTTTATTAATTTCAACCTCAGTATATATATGGCCAACTGCGTTTCAGTTAAGAGCAATTAAGGTAACTCAATCTGTCATCTCGCATTAAAGAACGCAGGTAGAGCTTTATGAATTTGAATCTACTTCTGCAACTGTGCTGTTGATGAGAATAATCTGAACAATGTTATATTCTGTCAAAAGGTTAGGATAAATGGAACAAATATATGAATTATAAAGAAATTGTGTTAATGTAATAAATATATAAGTTATCCAGATAAATTTGAAATTCCATCTTCTATGATGAGGAATTTTCTCTTTTCTTTTGTTTTATTTCAGTAAGTTTCGCTCACGAAAATCAATTGAATCTGAATGGAATAATGACTTAAAAAATTACCAGCTGCTGTTGCTGGTGTCAAAATACTTCCTATTTTGTAATGACAAAACGTTGTGTTATCAACTCAGAAGGAGACAATAAATCAGATAATCATAATCAAATATTGGCCTTAATGTTCATTTTGAAAATGTTCGTTTCAAGCGTCCCTTAGCATCAGGGTTCAGCATTCAGCGACGAACGCATATCAACGTGTGAACACCACTAACGACCAAAAATATAATATCTGCCTATATAAGGCGTATCTTTTCCTTTCTTTCTTTCTTTATTATGCACCCCATACCCATCCCGTGGGCGGTGGTGTAAAGAATTACAGAGGCACATAATCGGTTCAGGAACTGAACCCTATAGTTCGTTTAGCTAAGCAAATAACAATCTTTTGACGCTAGTTACAAAATTTTAATGTTTAAGGCGTATCCATGAAAGATTTTGTTTACGGTCAATTTTTTTGTAAGGTTAAATTTATTCTCTTTTAATTTACTAAGGTTCTTTACTCAAGTAAAGATATTTACTTGAATTTACCTGAAGACCACTATCTTTCTAGTAGCCTCAATGAGGACAGGAGGCTGGCGGATTGTTAAAGGTCCTCCCCACTTTGTCTTGATGATTTTATAAGAACATAAGAACATAAGAACAAAGGTAACTAAAAACTGAAAGGTAACTGAAAAACATAAATTAATAATTGAGTCGCAACATGGTTTTATAAATGGCCGTTCATGTTTAACAAATTTGTTATCTTTTTATTCTAGCATTGTTGAGGCAGTTGATAGTGGTAAGGATTGCGATGTTGTATACCTTGACTTTAGCAAAGCTTTTGATACAGTGCCACATGAAAGACTGATTAAAAAAATAGAGTCTCATGGTATTGGGGGTGCTATATTAAGCTGGATTAGGGCATGGCTATACCAAAGGAAACAGAGAGTTAGTATAAATGGAATCAAGTCAGAGTGTGAAAATGTTGTAAGTGGAGTGCCTCAAGGCTCTGTCCTGGGACCTCTGTTGTTTATAATATATATAAATGATTTAGATTCAGGTTTGAGTAGCAACATTTGCAAATTTGCCGATGATACGAAAATCGGTAGGGAAATTAATTCGGAGGAGGACTCACTATCACTTCAAGTTGATCTAGATAGGGTTTTGAAATGGTCAAAGGATTGGCAGATGCAGTTTAATGCTGATAAATGTAAAGTTCTGAGGTTAGGTAATGATGATAGAGTTACAAGATACGAGCTAGATGGTGTTGTGATTGCGAAGTCGGATTGCGAAAGGGATCTGGGAGTTATGATTAGTAAGAATTTAAAACAAAAGGATCAATGCATAAATGTTCGTAATAAGGCAAATCGGACACTTGGATTTATTAATCGCAGCGTTAGTAACAAGACACCTGGTGTGGTTCTCAAGCTATATCTTGCTCTAGTTAGGCCCCATTTAGATTATGCAGTTCAGTTTTGGTCGCCATATTATAGAATGGATATAAATTCACTTGAACGTGTCCAGCGTAGGATGACTAAGTTAATTCCCCAAATTAGAAATCTTTCATATGAAGAAAGATTAACAAAGCTTAAGTTGCATTCACTGGAAAGGCGAAGAGTTAGGGGTGACATGATAGAGGTTTACAAGTGGATGAATGGACATAACCGGGGGGATATTAATAGGGTATTAAAAGTATCAACACAGGACAGAACACGAAACAATGGGTATAAATTGGATAAGTTTAGATTTAGGAAAGACTTGGGTAAATACTGGTTCAGTAACAGGGTTGTTGATTTGTGGAACCAATTGCCGCGTAACATTGTGGAGGTGGGGTCCCTCGATTGTTTCAAGCACGGGTTGGACAAGTATATGAGTGGGATTGGGTGGTTATAGAATAGGAGCTGCCTTGTATGGGCCAATAGGCCTTCTGCAGTTACCTTTGTTCTTATGTTCTTATGTTCCTATGTAACTGCAGAAGGCCTATTGGCCCATTCGAGGCAGCTCCTATTCTATAACCACCCAATCCCACTCATATACTTGTCCAATCCGCGCTTGAAACAATCGAGGGACCCCACCTCCACCACGTTACGCGGCAATTGGTTCCACAAATCAACAACCCTGTTACTGAACCAGTATTTACCCAAGTCTTTCCTAAATCTAAACTTATCCAATTTATACCCATTGTTTCGTGTTCTGTCCTGTGTTGATACTTTTAATACCCTATTAATATCCCCCTTGTTATGTCCATTCACCCACTTGTAAACCTCTATCATGTCGCCCCTAACTCTTCGCCTTTCCAGTGAATGCAACTTAAGCTTTGTTAATCTTTCTTCATATGAAAGGTTTCTAATTTGGGGAATTAACTTAGTCATCCTACGCTGGACACGTTCAAGTGAATTTATATCCATTCTATAATATGGCGACCAAAACTGAACTGCATAATCTAAATGGGGCCTAACTAGAGCAAGATATAGCTTGAGAACCACACCAGGTGTCTTGTTACTAACGCTGCGATTAATAAATCCAAGTGTCCGATTTGCCTTATTACGAACATTTATGCATTGATCCTTTTGTTTTAAATTCTTACTAATCATAACTCCCAGATCCCTTTCGCAATCCGACTTCGCAATCAAAACACCATCTAGCTCGTATCTTGTAACTCTATCATCATTACCTAACCTCAGAACTAACCTTATCGAGCTGGCTTTTGTGATTCAGCAGTGTTTTGGCCTTTACGTCTTCGGCGGCTAGGCGGTTCCATAGATGTATAACCATGTTCATTTTATAACCCTAACACTGCGGGTGAAAAAGCATATCCTGTTTTCTGTCCCTTCACATGATCATAGCGACAGTATGGCTAGTTGGGCTGTTAACCGTTGCTAATTGTTTTTGTTACAGTTTGACTTTTTGAAGAAGTTGTCTCGACCAACATCCTCCAAACTGTTCAGTATTCTAAAAATTTCGATGAGATCAGCCCTGTCATGCTTGGCTTGCAGTGTTGTTAGCCCTGTGGTCTTAAACTGTTAATGGTATGAGAGTCGACTTAGTTTTGGAATTATTTTTTTGGGACTAGTATTGAACTTTCTCCAAAGCAGATATGTCTTTCTGAAGATGATGCCTCCATGCTTGGATTCAATAATCCAAGTTGTTGGATTATTGTACCAGAGATTTATGCAGTTGAATAACTACCTTCTTTTCGTTGAAGTCAAATGGTTGCTTGACTATTCCTAGGGTTTGATTAGCATTCTTCACTGCAGCTTCCTCGACTTCAAGCTCAACAAGTTAGTAATTATCAAAAGAAGGCACCATGACGGGGAGACTTATGTATTTACAATCTTGTATTTACAAGATTGTAGCAATCAAGTTCAACAAGCCACACTGTAGGACAGAAAACAGGATACGCATTTTCACCCATAGGTTGAAAAAATCCACATGGCACCGCCTATTCGTTGAAGCCCCAAATACCAATACATTACTGCATATCGAATTTTAGATAATAGGCCTATGAGTCATTAGCGAATTTTTGCTCTAGAAGCGTTCGCTGCCGCCCACTGGGCCAGTCGTTCGCTGGCTGGCGACCGATTCCCTTTGTATGTAAACATATCGCGCGGGAGGGACGCTTTTGAGAACTTCTTCATGGGAATTTCAGCCTCTTGCACGTGAAGTTAATGCTTGTAATATGTCGACATACCAGGTAAGGTCGCTAGAGGAGGCAGATCAGATCATACGGGAGCACGAGAGGAAGACTAAGACCACATACGCTCTCCTCAGGTCCACCAAGAATTTCGGCTGTGTTGATGTCCCAGGTAGGACCATTTAAATGTCCTAGTGTCGTATTTCTTTTTTTTTGTAAATGGCATTGCATTCGCGATTCGGTGTTCTTAGAGCATATTTGTTTCATATGATTATTGTTTTGTAGGGTGTGAATTTGTAGCTATTCTCATTTTATTGTCCAAAATGCTGTGCTTCCTAGTGGCTGTACAATAATAATAATAATAATAATAATTTTTATTTAGGCAAAGGTACATACATAAAGAGATTTTACAAAGTTTGTTGGCTTTATAGATAGAGCTAGTACATACAATGCCTAAAGCCACTATTACGCAAAGCGTTTCGGGCAGGAGAACTGAGAACGGGCAGGAATGTAAGAACTCTTGTATATATCAATAAATAAATAAATCAAAATTTATATTATTCTCTCATGATTGTTATGATTTACGATTTTTCTTTGCTCTTCACTCTTGATTGCTACTGTTCACTCTTACTTACAGCTATTCCCTCTTGATTACTACTATTCACTTCTATCTACAACTATTCCCTCTTGATTACTACTATTCAATCCTACTTTCAACTGTTTACTCTTGATTGCAACTTTTCACTCTTGATTACTACTGTTCACTCTTGATTGCTAATGTTCACTCTTACTTACAGCTATTCCCTCTTGATTACTACTATTCACTTCTATCTACAACTATTCCCTCTTGATTACTACTATTCAATCCTACTTTCAACTGTTTACTCTTGATTGCAACTTTTCACTCTTGATTACTACTGTTCACTCTTGATTGCTAATGTTCACTCCTCATTTTAACTACAGTATTCACTTGTAGTTGTAACAATTAATGCTTAGTATTCATTTCAGCCTGTGCAAATGACGAAAACGAAGTCAGATTTGAAACGGTGGGAGTTCCTTATTGTGGCGTGCCGTTTTTTGTGGCGGGACTCAAGATTCTCCAGTGCCAGTCGTACAGAGGTCGAGGAGGAAGAAAGAAGAAGGAGATCAAAATTGAGGTGTGTTAATAGGATTACAAGAGCTGTTGTAGAGGACAAGCTGTTATTAGGAGAATATATCCTGGAGCATACGACGAGATGGGTTCTGGGAGTTCTTCTACCCCTTGACGACTTGTGATAACTTGGTCCAACTTGTCCACGTTACTGTAATTATCTTTTAATCTACAGGTGGACACGTATAGGCCTATAGTGTGTGTCTACATGAGGGAGATATACACAGTGGAAGGGAGAGAGGAGATCACTACAACTGGATTAATTTGAGGGCCACAATCCATAGTGACGTAGCTTGGGACAGGGAGCTGGCAGCTTGTCAGAGGTCTCTCCGTTATTTCCAAGGTTCTTTTTGAGAAGGATTTTAAATTTGGATTTATAGCTTTGGTGGGTATGCAGTTCTATGTTCATTGTCCAATGGGTAAAAAACACCTGATTTTGTCTGTCATACACTGTGGCTTGTTGAGCTGGAGTCTATTACTTTTTATGAATGTTATGTAACGAATGGTCTGGATGAATATTTTTAAATTTGTAAATGTATTTTATTATTTTTAAAGTCTTGCTGAGATTACCTTAGTCATTTCTAATCTGTAGTGTTGTTAATATGAGCTCCTCAGTATTTCCTGGTATGTGAGTAGACTTAATTCTGGGAGAATTTTTGTCATACAGCAAAACTATAGAGATAAGTTTTCCATATACTTCTGTCTAGTACACTGTAATGTAACATTAAGAAGCAACTTGATTCTCAGAATTGTTAGTGAATGATGCTGTCTAGTACACTGTAGTGTAACATTAAGAAGCAACTTGATATTCAGAATTGTTAGTGAATGATGCTGTTATTGATTTGCAATTATATTTTAATGTAAGTTAACTAATTGTTTAAGATAGATTTTACAAAATGTACAAAGTTAGCAATAAAAAGTTAACCTAGGTGGTAGGAGAGCTGTCTTCTACTAACTATATATGAGATTTATAAACAAAATATGATTATAGTTGTATATTAAATCTCTTAAATTCCTCCATTTTATTTTGTTCCACCATAACTTCCATCAAAATTTCCATTAGGTCTTAGTCAACATATGATCTGCTTATGAAAGAATGAAAAGTATACAGTATTCCAACATAATATTTTTAATATTTCTTAGAAATACATGCTAGTTTAATACACATCTTTCAGTAACATGGGTGTTATTTTGTAGGAAACAGTGTATTGAATCTGCAGCTATCAAACATTGCAAGACCATCAAACAAAATGAAGGAAAATTCAACATATCTACCTTTTGCTAAATATATCCTTCATAAATATATTTACTGTATCTTAATACATAATGTCAACCTTTCCTTATTGACTTCATGTTACCCTTTTCTCATTTTGCCTTTTGATAAGCAATAGTAATATTGCTATGTTGGGCTTGATTAAGATGTTACAGGCTAAATTTCATGTGATAATTTATTCAATTCTCATCATCGTGGTGTATTACTGTAGGATGGCTGTGGTGGGTATGTGGGCCTGCGGGCTGCTCCAAGCAACGGCCTGGTGGATCAAGCACTCACAAGTCCAGCCTTGCCTTGGGCTAGGCTTGGGGAGTAGAACAACTCCCAAAAGCCCATCAAGCAGGTATCAAGCAGATATGGCTTACTCTAAATTGCTGTTTCAGCTGACTGGGTCTGGAGCAGGTGTGATCGGTGAGGCAGGTGTCGGGGATGCTGGGGGGGATGATGAGGATCCCATGCACATGAAGCCAATGATCAAGAAGAAAAAGAAGGCTGGTCGAACCCATAAGGTTGGCTGTACTGCCACCATCATCATGAAGGAAGTCATATATTATCCTGAGTTCCAGGTTAGTTTAGTAGTTTTATTGCCCAGCATGAAAAAAATATACAGTATTATTTATTTAAAGCTTTTACTATGTATTTTGTTTTGGTTAGTTATATTTAACTTTTTATGGAGCATTTTGAATATTACTATTAATATTAATTAGTTTTTCTGAGCTGCATCTCCTAAAGCTCATTGTACAGTATAGGTAATAAGAGTAAAAATTTATATAACATGAATACTCTCCAAGGGTCCAGGTGTTTCCTTATACAACCTTGGAATGATGTTTAGGTTAGGTTAGCTAACACTGTTGGAGTGACCTTTCACCTCAGGTACAAAATGACCTTCTAACCAATTGTGAAACATGACTGGACATTCATGCAGTAGACTGAGCTATATTTCTATTTATACATCTCAGCTGCAATGGCACAGCAAAACAATGAGTTTCCTTCTTTGCCTTGAACCCAGGAGTATCATCACAGTCACCCTCATGGCACCAATATAAACTTGTTCCTTTAGCATCATTAATTTCATTGGGATATAAAGAATCATCCTGTATTATTTCCTCAAATTTTGAAATGTATTCTTCACTATCTTCTGCAGAAGCTAACTGCTTTTCCTTGCATCTTTTCACACACTTGATACCTTGTTGAATCTTACAGCCTTGTAGCCACCAATCACTATACACATAATCCTCACATTGTGTCAGTGCTTCAAGGACTATGTACAGCTCCCCTTGTTTGGACCATGTAGTGGTACAGTACTTGGAAATCACCAGTGATAAAATGAAACTGGAATGAATAACAAATATTCAGAAGAATCTGTTCTCAAGGAAAAAATAATGAAGTCCCATGAACTGCTAAAGGGAACTCAAACTACTGTACCAGTCAAAATAAATGACCACCTGATATCTCCCCCCCCCCCCTCCCACCAATTGGTGGCCAGCTGGGTTGGCTAAGCAAGCAATGAGCAGTAAGCTAGGCCCCCCTCCTCATTGGCAGTCACTCGTAATGCCAAGTATATGTTTGGTAGGGCCATTAGGTCTATAAATGTATAGCTGGTGGTCATACTGAACTCCATTTAGCCTCCATTCCATCCAGTGCCTCTCTAGCACATTAGTGACTTTGCAGGTACACTTTAAAAGATTTTTGTGTCTTTGGTGGCAATGCTGTTCTGCCTATATAAGTGTGAATCTGATTTTCAATAACAGTAGATTACACAATTAAATGATTCTTCTCAGAAAGCTGCTCTTTATGGTGACTTGAACCATCATTATTTTCATAAAATCCACAGATGTGGTATAGTGGGATTTCTGATTTGTATAGCTAATTCAATACATCTGATAGTAACTGGATCAGAATTCTTCCATTGCTTCCAGTCTTTCCATTGATCAAATTCCATCGGAGCAAAATCCACTATGTGGTCTTTTTATTCACATTATTTTACATAATTGAAGCATTTCTTGGGCTAAGGTGTAACTTTTAATGAAGACAACCTTGTATTAAAATACTATTTGTGATAGTTTGTAAATAATGTCATAAATGATTACTATTACAGTGTTACTATTATTCAACAGCTTTTTGAGCACTCAAAAAACAATCGCATTGCTGTCGCACGTCAACTTAAAGATGCATTGAAGTCCAAGGCTCCTGTACAGAAAGATCGAATAATCTACGTCACAGTACCTGCAATGTCTGACCATTTTGGTCACTCGGTTGGACTGGTAAGCTGAAGAATCATTAAATATCTTAATGATTGTCTTGATAATGTTGCAAATAAATTAGTGTTATATATGGAATCAATGATTTTCCAATAAATTCCTATTGTTTGTTATATATGTGAAGTTGAATGTATCAATATTGCACAATAAATTGTGAGCATATATTAAAATGTTTGACGTTTGTTGCTAATTTTGTTATTTAATTTGTTTGTATCTGGCAACAGGGCACCACAAAGGTTAGTAGCTCCCTCCTGTTTACTCAGAACTATAACTATTAACATAGTGAGAATGATTGGGGTGTAAAAATACAGCCAAATTATGCATTAAGGTTTAATCAGTATCACTCATCACTTGCTGCTTAAGCTTGTCAGTGTGCTCATACCAGTCATGCTTAAATCTTTTATGTAAAGTGTCTTAGATTCATCGTAAATATAGTGCAGCAGTAATTTATTGTGCTCGTTCTATTTTTTTAATATTTCATCTCATTAAATACATTAAATTTGGTTACTGTATAGAAAATTCAAATAAAATACTGAAAACATTTTAACAGCTCAATATCTAAATCATTAAATAATTTTTTTATATATATTTATGAACTACTGTGTCATGATTATTTTGTTTAATTTTTTGTGATGTTTTGAAATTATGAAAATCATTCAACATGACATAGGCATTTATTAGCTAGATTTCCTAAGTGTAGGCTAACACTGGGGTTTTCATGCACTTTATAATTTTTAAGGATTCACATATCATGATGCCTCCCAAATGTTCTGCAGTGGCAGTTTATCTGAGACTCTAGAGTGGTGATTATTCTCATCTCCGTCTGTGGATACTTTCATTTTCCTTTCGATGATTCTGAGGATCAACATCCCTGCGGCTCGGTCTCTGACCAGGCCTCCTGGTTGGTGGTCTAGTCAACCAGGCTGTTAATAATATTTGCAGCTGAGAGGTAGCAGGAGTTCTTAATTGTAATGTTCTGGTAGGTTTCGTTAGAGGGGAGTTGAGAAAAGTAGAGTTTCAAAGATCTCTGCACTGCACCTTCTTATTTCTTATACAGTATAATCTTAAATTATTGTATGTGAATTTGCTTGTGCCAAGACTTTTCTGGAATGCATCCCTCATGGAAAAAAAGGACTCACTGTTTCCACAACAAAGTACAAAGTACAAATATTGTAGAATGTGACATTAAAAATATTTGATGTATTTCCTTCCAATTTTATTTTATAAAAGATCAGTATACTCTACTGTTTTTTTAAGTACATTGTATTTGTATTGTATTTTGGACACATTGTATTTGCAATGAAATCCTTCATAATAATAAGTTTAAATCCTTTGTAATAATGTGAGGGGGTTTTGCATTTTTCAGCAAGGAGCAAAACGTCTATTTGTGAAGAATGACTTTTATGGTCACAATGAACCAGGCTCCAGCAAGCGAGTATATTATCCCGTTAAGCAAGAGAAATTAAATGTCGCACAGTTAACAAAGCGTATGAAGGTGGAAGAAGATGACACAGAAGCCAGAGCCAAGGAAGTGCGTGAAATCTTGCAAGGTATCATGGGGCTTACATACAAGGTCAGTTTTCAAATTAATTTTTTCTTTGCATTACATGAAATGCCAAAAAAAAAGTCTCCCTGGCTTGGTGCTTTCTTTTGATAATTGCTTACTAAATATTTTATGCATTTTTCACATTTCTCATGTCTCTTGTGTTAAGCATTTTAATCAAGCAAAATCTATACCATATTAATAAAGACTTTTTAATAAGAAAAAGTATTTAAGAACACAGTCCAGTTTAGTACTGTAGAGTGGCTTGTACTGACGACTGGCTCTGCTGTTGGTGGGAAATACACACACACTCCCTTCAGTACTTCATATACTGAAGGAGTACTTGCTCACATCCCTTTAACTCATGTGTATTTTGCTAATTATTTTTTGTTTTACTTCCTGTAAAATATTACTTTATTCCCAATATTTCTTTCCTACCATCCATTCCTAAGCTTGTGTAGTTAAGTAGGTTTACAATGTGATGTACGAATAGCATAGGAGTCACAATGTTATCGGTTCCCTCATGTGCAGAGATAATAATAGACACAGTGTTAACTTTGAATTACAGTATAACTTAAACAACTTACTGTTTTCTTGCTGATGTGTTAACTTTTCTGCAGCAACCTGGAACAACCGAAGCATATCGTGAACTATATAAAGACTTGATGCATGCCAAGCTCAAGTATCAGCAGACGATGGACACACTACTTGGAGGAACCCACGTTGCACAGATCCACGTGGTAGATGGCATAGTAGGACAAAACGGAGATAATCAAGGTAAGGCAAACATTTTCAGAAGCCTTGTATATTTGAACATATTTCCTAAAAAGAGATAATTTTAGTTTTCGTAGATTTTTTGTCTTCTGAATTATACCTCCTTAGTTTCTCTCAGAGCCAGTAGGATCCATCAGGACTATTTTGTCACTAGGCTTTAAACAAGTTGTTATCCTACATTGACATAGTCACTGCTTGCTATCAGACTGACCTGGCTGGTTGCAACGTGATAATCACTTGAGTACCTTTCCCAAGTATACACCACAGCTTAGGTGAAAGTTATCCTGTTCTATTCGAGTGTGACTGTGTGGGGTAAAATGAAAAAAAATTAAGAATACAGAACTTATTAAATGGAAATTATAATAATTAATGAAGGTATAATTACTCCACTGTGTGTACTGAATAAAGTTTCAAAAAAGGATGAAAGGAATAGGGGAATTGTAGGAGCAGTTTCTTTATTTATTCTTAGTTGAAATCTTGACTGTATAAATGAAGGCATAACACTTCCAGTGCCTCCTTTCACTAAGCATTTTGCAACACCCAGCTTGACGTAAGTGTACTGATGCAATACAGGTATTATTATGTATTATTGTCCCAGACCTTGAGCTTCATAACTTGTACAAAAATTAATTATGCTCTGGTGTGGCTATTACAGATCCTGTTTGGTTGGTCAGTTGATGGTTGAGGTTGATAAGCATTCCAATTTGAGGATTTTATACCCATTGATTCGGTTTAGTAATTAGGTCCTTAACCTTACCTATCTGAACTCTTTTGAGGGATCTAGAAGATATGAAAGACTATTCACTTTATCTTACCATGAACTGACAGGGAATAAATTTAAATGTATTGATGTAATGTTTTTTATTATCCATAATAATTATTTATCAGAAGTTATACATGTAACAGATACACATGTAAATAAACAAAATTATATGCAAACCTATGATGAAATTCATATAAGATCTCCTACATAAATCTATAGAACCACTTGCGCAATTTATGCCCTGTTTTTCCCAGGGTTTAAAAGGCATTCAAATATTTATATATATATTTGACCAGACTCTTAATGATGTTTCTCAAAAGCCACATAATTTTTTAGTTAATCAAAGTCTCTTGTCATGTAATAATAATAAATTAGTTTTTTTTCTTTGTCTCTATTAAAAATCTCGGCCAAGGTGATGGAAATGAGAACGCTTGGCCAGTACCAAGAACAGCTGTGGTTGTGACTACTTCTGCAGGACCCACTGCAACTCTGCCACCTGTCTCGTCTGTTACCACTACCACAACCATTGCTGCCCCTCAGGTTCAACAGAACCCTACAGTAGCTACAACAGCTACAACAGTAGCAGATGGCAATAATCAGGAAACCAGTATCTTTATTGAGGCTATGGAAGCTATTCTAAACTCACAGATATAAAGAATTTTTTTATTTGTATTTTATAAGCTAAGGGCAAAATCACTATAGGCCTTTGTCATCTATTACAAATTTGGTGTTTATCTGAGAACATTATGGATCATCATCATCATCATCATCATTAGTAGCAGTCATCACCACTGGGGCATCCATCATCATCAGTAGTCATCATCACCACCATTATACACTGGTACTTGGCCTTGGCCCTGTGCCTAAATATCAACATTACCTTATCTCCATCATTATCATTAGCCACAGTAGCTTCTCTGTTTTCATTTGGTGAGGAGGCATTAACCCAGAATCTATATGGAAGTGCTGTCAGACCACTGACAGCGCAGCTTGTTCTCTCAATTTGTCATTCCATAAAATATTCAAATGTTTTGCCTAACCAGGAATGTATGCCCTTACACAACCCACCTAACCTGTAGACTCCAAGGCCTAGAAAATGTCATTATTACAGTACTGTAAGTTTCACTATTATGTCCTATTTTAATGTATAAATTGTAATATGTTAGGTGAGAGGACAGGTTGGATGGAAACAGAGTGATGCATATAGTAGTTGAGCATGTCACCAGCTTCGGAATGTAACATGCCCGAGAGCACTACTCCTCACTGTTCATAGGATCTTTCCCCATGTTGACACATCTTAACTGAAATATACCTCCACCACATGATAAAGGTGATGATGATATTTAATCAGTCATTTAAAAAACTAGGGTAAAGTGTTCCATTTCCATTGTTCCATTATCTTGTCTTAATTGTTAGTTATTCCTTCTCTCATCTAAAAAATTTACCCGAATCAACCTCATTATCTTTCTACCTCTCAAATTCATTCATATACACTGCATAAAATGTTAAATATACATTCTTTTCGAATAACATTATTTTCATATCAAACTAATTTTTATTTTAAACTCCACTTCTTTTCATAATCTCGAAGGTCTGGTAATCAGTCCTTCCTACTCAATACATTTCTTTCAGCTTGTCCATCACTGTTGCTCTTTTTTGTTTTTGGTTTACTCGTCTTCCAACTTGCACAAATTCCTAATTTAGCCTATCACATTTCAAGTCTCTCAGTTAATTTGGAGATGAATATTTCTTGTCATATCTCAAACATATATTTTACGTCTCTCAATTGCTATTAATTTACTGTTAAACTATTTTTTACCACAAATCAATATAACTTTCAACTATCCAAGAGTTGCCTCTTGGATAGGTAATAGATGAATTGAATGGACCCGAGTTAGATTCTCAGGCAGGATGAGACGTTTGGGTATGTTTATATGCACTTGATGGCTCTTGTTCACCTAATAGCAAATACTTACCCGAGACTTATGTTTGTAGTTTGTAGTTTGCATCCTGTGGGAAGGTAACATAGATAAGCCCAACAGTCTTTCTGTCTCGGTGTATAATCATTCCATTCACCTGGGCTCTCGAAACTCGAACTGCGGACCCCACATGTGTGAGGCCGAAACTCAATCGACTGAGCTATTGAGTAGTCTTAATAAGGAAATGAACAAATCCACATGGGCTGTGACGAGGATTCGAACCTACGTCCAAGAGCATCCCAGATGCTGCCTTAATCGACTGAGCTACGACATGGTAAAAGAATTGCAACAAAAAGTTCTACTGAACTTACTTGAATCATGCTATTGTGATATGTGTGTGTTAGTAAGGAAAGTTATTATTGGGACCTTGAACTGTGGACCATGTGTGGTCTGCGGTTCGAGTCTCCTAGAGCCCAGGTAAATGGAGTGTTTATTTCCATGGAAGTATGGATGACATTTTATAGAGTAAAATCATAACTCTCTCATCTGGTATTTCTGGTAAGGATTTCTTTTTCACACTTTAAAAGGTATAGGAGCAGAAATATCCTGCTGGGTTCTTGGGTTTTGGATCGCCTGAGAGTGGGTGCCCTTAGTTTGTTATTGGCGCCTCACTTTCTCCTTTGATTGCCAGTCCGGTCGTGGGATTGCTACTAGAATCGGGTTTGGATTCAAATTTACAATGCTTTCACTGTAGTTTTGAATGGTTACTTTAAACTTTTCTTTATCATCTTACTCATCCTCCTGCCTCAGTCTGTCTTCACCCTAAGGCATCGCAATTTTGATGCCAATCAACCACACGGTAAAAAATCCAGTGTTCTAGTACAATTAAAAGCACTCTAGTATTAATGTTCCCTTGGATTAATGAGCATTGGCCTTGATAAGTTAAGTGGATTGCCTAGATTAAAAAACTCACTAGGTTAGATAAAAACCACTTTGAATTTGATGCTGGGGCAAATTGTTTGAATGGGCTGCCTGATCAGCATATATTTATTATAATTTATCACTGATCTATTTTGGCCTCACGTTTGGGCAATATCAGTGCCTGAATACTAAACCACACACCAGAAGATGAGGAGACGACGACGTTTCGCTCCGTCCTGGCCCATTATCAAGTCGATTGTGCCCATTTTCATTTCCTGGGACTATATCCCCAATATATGCATGAAAATCTTTTTCATAATTTCTTTTTCTCACTAATTCTTTTTGCTACAAAACCTTCAAAATCTGCTAGATTGTCTTCATCAGCAAACATGCCAGATGACAACCAACATTTATCCAGTGTATTCTGAAAGGTGAATATTACTTAATTATTTTGTAATAGAATCCTGATCATCACCGAGCTGTTTGGCATTTTTGTTTTGTTTTTCTTTCAATGTTGGATCAAGGAAATCTTATTAGGAGACAGCTGTTTCTGTTGCTTATTAGCTCTTACCTGCTATTCAGAAATAAAACCACTTTGCTATCACTTGGCAGGTCAGCTGTTCCCAAGGGTTTTCATTTGTGGGACAAAATGCTGAGGAAGCTAGTTCTTGAAAATAGCTCTAGTCATCCATGCACTTTCTGGGCCATATAGATGACAGGTAGGAAAGCAAGTAGACCATGTATTTTTACTTACAAAGTTAATGATGGGAATCGGTGCTTTGGGTTTCATCATCTTTTTAGTAGAGACAAATATATGATGCAGATTCATCTCAGGAAATCAGGTATATGAGAATTTAAAGAAACAGTTTTATAAACATTTTTGATAAACTGAACAAATTTTTGATAAAGTGAGGAAGGCACCGTCACATTGATGCAAAGCTGCGTATAGAGATATTGCTCAAGCTTTTAATGTATATTGTATATATTACCATCTTATTTTAAGTATTTCACATTGTTTGCAAATCAATAATTTAAAGTCTAAAGCTTCAGGATGTGTGTGTGTGTGTTTTCCACATTCTCATGTGGGTTTATGAGGTACTGTAATAGAGGCTGCTAGAGAGCTGGGGGAATAGAAGATAATACAGTGCATTTGTAATTTTAGACATGATTGGGAAATTGCTATGTTGTCAGTCTTAAGAAAAAAAAGGATCGTAAATCTATCTGGGTCTATCCTGTTTTTTTTAAAGTTAAATTTCAGTACAGTTCATAATTAAAAGGAACTATATTCCATTTTATAGGGTGTTAAAGAAATATCATGATGTTCAGTGGTCTGTGTATCAGTCACCATTCACCATTTTTTTCCCTTTTTCATGAAGTCTTACAATTTTTGTTTGGCCTGAAAAAGTGTGTGCAGACATAGAACATTTTATTTATAAAGCCAATGCAAATAAATTGTAAAAACTGTAGTGAAATATATTACTTGGATAAATGTAAAATCTCTTATACTTCACTTGCATTAAGCATAATAAGATGCATCACAATACTTGTATGAATGTTGTTTGCCCTATAAGTCATGCATATATGAAGTCTTATCTGCAATGTATAAGTATAGAATACTGTAGTATCTTCCCATATGTGCACATTTGTAATTTGAAGGGCAACATTGGAAATCCATGACTGTTTCTTCAGTACCATGGCTTGATGGTGACATCTTGAGTAATATTTATGGCTTTGCATTTGCCATTGACTTAAATGGTATTATTCTCCATTACAAAAATATTGAAGCCATATGAAGGGATCAAACCAACTTTCCTGAACTCCCTAGACACACACACACACACACACACACACACAGGGATGCGGGTTCGATACAATCATAAGGCTTCAATGTTTGATCATAGATATATCATTTTGTGCAAGTTGTGCATACTTCATTATTACCATATGTGGCTTAGGACATTCTTTGGGCAATTACTAGCATTTCAGATTGGGATTAAGTGCTAAGTACAATGGAATATGACCACCTAAAGATATAATTATCCTAAAAAAGAAAGAAGACTCAAGCCATGGTCCTGAGGATATAATGATTTAAAAGGCCACCTTCAAACTGTGGTCTAGGTGATATATCATTTATCATTATTGTTGTTACTCCAATTTTTTTTTTATATACTGTAATCACCATTTGTTTTACATTAAATATATTCTGGATCCTCACATGTGAGAGAAAGGTGACACACCGAGAAATAATCAGTGGCAAGGAAACGTTTTTCGCTTATGTGGTAATCAAATATGTTGTTAGTACTGTGGTAGCTAGCATGCAAGTGGTTGGTAGGCAATACAAATTAATTCTTAAAAAAAAAAGGTTGCCAGTCCTAGGTCACAAGCATTTTTTTCCTCTTATTGGTATAAAATCAATTTTTAAATAAATTTTAGAACAATAGACAGTATTAACTTGAGAGGTTTAGCCATCATTTGATACTACAATTAAATCAGTGGATATATATCTTTAATATACAAAATATATTGGAGGCTGAATTTTTGGCCCAATCCAAGAGATTATTGGACAGGGTGTTAAAGCTTTATTATAAAGGGGATCAAGTGTCACTATAAACATGTTTATTATATTTATATTATACACACCATCCTCAATTCCTCTGTAATATCTTAAAATGTGTAACAGTGTTCATCAACATTACAACCTAATGTTATGGTCACCTGGGATAAAGGGTCAGAGGTTTTCTGGATTATAAACAGTGTCAGGTAAGAGTTACCTGAAACTATATACATACTATAAATACAGGGTATTTATGGTAACTAAAATCCTTGTAAAGATAGCCTGCTTAAAGCTCAGGAACATTATACTTCTCATAAATCACTGAAGTCAATTAATGTAATGACTGGGAACTGTTCCTCTTCTGTGCTTAAGGTTCCTTCATCTCAACATATCAGGTCCTGCCTTAATTTCTCATCATCAGCTTTATGACTGCTCATAATTTAAATCATTTTAAATTATGACATTTAAAAATTGACAGTTTTCTCTTCACTGACACTGTCAGCATGGTTGAACCAATCAATTCTTTTTTATATATCTTGCATATATGCACATACCGATGTAATTTATTTTTAATCCTAAATTATTTTTAGTTTTTATGCTACATTTTAAGCGATTGTGTTTTGTCTGGCCACAAGTGGGCGATTACATGCACTGTCAACTTGACCCTGCACCAACATGTATTAATACATAGTATCAGAAAAGAGAAGGCATCACTGTTCAAATACTCATTGCATTTTTTAATTAGCAAATTTCTGGAAATAATAAAGTTCAAAGAAAAATACATGTAATGTTTGAATTTGAATATTTTGTTTCTGAAGATGATGATAATCAACAACAGCAACGAAGACCTGCTTGTAAGTTATTGTTAAGCACTGATACACTGCATTAATTATATGTTGGACCATCACAGTTATAGACTGCATTGTAATTAAGTGTACTTCTAGATTAAGACCATTTAGGGAATATAAATACAGTGTTTAGCTATGCATTAAAATGATGGATAAGTAATGTGAAGGCAACTTGTGGGTCATGGATTGTTGCAGTGCTGTGTTAGGACGGTCACCCAGTAAACTCACTGGAGTAGACTGATGGGTTTACTGGGCTCTGAATAGGCACTGGCACTGCTGCTGTATAGTAACAAAAGCTATAGTGGATATATAAATATATATAAATTATATTATTATGAAAGGTATAATTTTTGGTGTGAAAAAGTTTTCTTTAGGCATTTACTATACCAAAATAATAAACTGCAATTTGTGTGTTTAGCATATAATTATATTTCTTCATTGAATTATTATTTTATTGGATTTTGGGGTATAGACAGGCAGGCAATGAGGGATTTTCCACATTGAATTTTTCTCATCTTATTTGGCTGGGTTATAAAATATATATTTTTTCAGTATTCAGTCTCAAACAATAATGTTAAAAAAAAAATGAGATTTTCTAGTTAAAATATGCCTACGAAGAACAGAATTAAGCAAATGATGAATTTGTAAATATTCAGTATTTTTGCTATTGCTAGAGAAGGGGAGTCAATTTCCTCTGAAGGCCAAATGCAAGGTGAAGGGAGGCACTGGAAATTTTGACATACCGGTGTGAGCTCCCAAGTAAATCTTGGGAGCAGAGATTTGTGTGAATTTGAGAACCAAGGCACTGGAAATTTTGACATACCGGTGTGAGCTCCCAAGTAAGTCTTGGGAGCAGAGATTTGTGTGAATTTGAGTCAATGTGTTTTCGAAGCGTGCATTTCTATGTAACGAAGAGCCAAATCGAGTGTTTATAGTAATGCATATTGCATTTAAATGTTAAAATGTGATGTTGCCCATATTATTCCTAGCATTTTATCAACCTTTAGTGTTTTTTTAAGCATGACCACTGAGCAGTGTCCCTAATTAAAAGTAGAACGATCTGTAAAAAAAATTACACATTTTGAAGTGTTTATGAAAGTACAGTTAGGGGTTGAACAGTTGTAATTTTATTTTGAAAGTTTATTACAATAACATGTAATTTTTTCTTCCTACATTGGTTACTGTACTTACTAATTGGCTAATTACTCACTTACCATTGGCTAATAGCCAGTTTTCTTATTAATAACACAAAATATTAGCTATTTGTAAATCTAGGTAACCCTATTTTCAATAAAGTTTCATTTTCTTGGGTAAGTAGTAATACTGTAGTCCATTTTTTTAATTTAAATGTACTGTATTGAAGTACAGTACTGTAAGACAAAATTGAGTTTGTAAGATATATAAAATGTCCTTATTAACTAAGCTCCACTACTCCAAATGGATCCACGACTGTTGTCAGGGGTTGATCAGTCGTGGAGCTTAGATACTAAGCACCAGGACTGATCAATCCTTATAGACGATCATTGGTGCGGTGGTTACGGTACTGTGTATGTTTAGGGGTGGTCCTGGATGGCATGGGTTCGAATAATGGCCGGGTCAAATAGAATTCTTAATGATATATATAGATAGATACACACACACATTCACTCACTCCCTTGGTACTTTAGGGGAGGAAGCAGTTCTTCCTCCTCTTCCCCAAGGTTGAACTACTGACCTGGATGCAACCTCAAAACATTGTCCTAACTCCCAGGTACCTATCTACTTCTAGGAACAGATTCATTAGGTGAAAGGAAACATGCTCAACTATTTGTCCTATCTGGAATTCAAATCCGGGATTCCTGATTGTGAGTAGAGAATGAACCTAACTACTACTGAAACCCAATATAACTCATCATTCATTCGCAGACGATGAGTCACAATAATGTGGCTGAAGAAATGATCTAACCCCAACTCAGAAGATGGAGGAGATAACATTTCGATCCATGATGGAGCAGTGTCAAGTCGATCATATGACTTGGTAATGGTTCAGGATGGACCAAAACGTCATCGCTTCTCCATCTTCTGATCTGTGGTTTGGTCATCCTCCCTTCATTCATTCAAAAAGTGATACGTCACGTACTCTTCAGAATACAGATGTAAGCGCTTTGAGGTTAAGCATTTAGTCACATTACTCCATCGCAGACAGTATTTCAACACACTGTTGCCATTCCTCCTTTCACCTGCAGCCAATAGCTTAAGAAATTATATTTTATTTGTAGTCGTACAAACACAATCTGTTATTTTACGATGCATTAATGTTTATGGAAGTGAAATACCCCTCTTGAAATTTGCTTGGCTTGTGTTTTAAATGTTATGCAATATTTAATCTATATTTACATAATTTTTCCTCCATGATGCAATGCCATACAAGTAAGGTTACAGAACCCAGCTTGGCCATATAGTATTGTATATACAACTCATTTTATATATATATTTTTTAATTGGTAGATATATATCTATGTATATTCAGAATCATTGTGTAAAAAGAGTACTTGCTCTCCATTTGGAGGGAAAATACCAAAATATTATGGGTTTAGTCAGTTTCTATACAAAAGAAGTTTAAGGCTTTTCACTATATTTTGGTGGGCAGTGGTTATGGAAGAGACACTAATCGTCTTGACAAATTAAGTATTCTGTGAACCCATGCATAATTAGAATAGAGAAGATTGAATGATTTAAATTTATTATATATTTTATGTTCTTAAAAGTTGTGAGAACAAAAAATATAAGCCTGACAGTATAGATTTTGAGTTTTATTTACAAAATCCTTTAAGTACACCTGGTTATAGTGGTATTCATTGGCTATAAGAAAAAGAAAACGGCGTGAATCAAATGGTGGATATTTACGTGGTACTGTATTATTTTATGTAAAAAAGCATCTGCCTACACATTAAAACAAAGAAAACTAATGTTGCTGTATGCTAGAGTCAAAGTACAGCTAAATTATAGAATATGTGGACGATTATGACTTCCTCACATTGTGACTGATTATAATGTTGTTATATATGATTGATGAAGATTAAGCCACCCAAAAGATGGCACGGGCATGAATAGCCCGTAAGTGGTGGCCCTTTTGAGCCATTACCAGTATCAATAGATGATACTGGAGAAATGTGGAGGTGCGGTTGCACCCTGCGTGACGAGAGGTCTCCCGTTCTCTGTTATATATAATGACAGACTCATTAAATGCTGTTCTGTTAGCATTACAGCAATCATGGGAGATAACGAGGCCTTCAACACGTATCTGGGATCCAATAGTTAGTCTTAACGATCACATTTTAAGTCGAGTCCAGAAGCTGCATCTCTGAAAAAATACTTAAACCATAGCTTATCTACCTCACCCTGTCCCCACCCACAGAGGGACAGGGTGAGATATAAGCCATATCCCTATTTACAGGTAACGGTTTTTCCACCCTCCTATCTTACTGTGAGGTGTAGTAACCGTATACAAGCCAGCAATTTTAGAATAGCAAACCAGTACAGTCTCCAGTCAAGAATGTAGTACTCGGTGTAGGCAGTTCTAATCGACCCAAGACGCTACAGCTTCGACACAGAGCAGGCAGCAGACTACGACCTCATCCAGCTACAACGCTCTCCCACATAGAGCTCCGCGACTATGGCCACACTCAGCTCTGCTCCAGGATTCGTCTCAACGTCCAAGACACTGCTGTATCCAGGACTACTAAATAAATATGAAAACTCACTAAACAATGTGTATCTAATCTACCCAACAACGTAACATAATCGTACGTTACAACCTTAATTGCTCTATAATATCCTATAATTCTACTATCCATGTTGGTCACTCTATACGGGATTACACTATGTTCCTGGTGGAAAAAATTAACTGATGTGGAATACCTGCATGTTCGCCTTGGTCGACTGCCGCATTATCCGTTCTACTAATCAATCAGGTGACACTGAAATAGTAAAACAATAAAACAGATTAGTCCAATAATTACAGTACATGGATGTAAATCACTGGTACAACTTTGTCCCAAACGGATCAGAGACCCATCAAGAAGACAGGTTAATTGAATCCTGCATTCTCGACTGGAGTGGTGGGTGAAATGTTGAATCGTCAACCAAAATAATAACGTCACAAGTTAGGTAGCCAGCCCATTTTTATATAACATCTGTGTTATATCCTGCAGTATTTAATTATCACTATATTAATACTTTTAAATACTTAACATTGAAGCAGAACGTCATAAGCAAGGATGGTGTGCTGAATAAAGATGATTTATTAAGTGGATGGAGCCTTTAGCTGATCCCTTCCTGTGATTTGCTGTTGTGTGAATGTCAACAAAGAGTTTCTACCAATGATATGCCATCATTTTTTTTATTATGCACCTCAAACCATCGTGTAGGCGGAGCTTGGAACCTCCTACCCGAGCACAACAACCCGCCTTAAGGGTTGCTGTTTGGCTATTTATAGTGCGTTGGAAAAAAAACAGATGGCGTTAGTTGTAATTTGTAGGATGATTTGTGATAAGTGTAATTTGATGTCAACAGATGGCGTAAGCTGTATCTTATGGCTACTGTTGACCAGCTAGTTGATAGTGTTCTCTTCTGCCGACAGATGGCATCAGCTGTATTATTATTATTTTAATAAAATTATTACATTAATAATAATGTATTATTATTATTTTAAACACTGATCTATACGTCTGGTAGCTTATAATAAGGTTTTATACCATGCTGGTATTAGGTAACTAGAATTCTGCAATTACTTTTTTTTATCTACTGTTATGATATGTAAGACAAATGTAAGGTTTTGAGGCTAAGTAACGAAGATAGTTACAATAACGAGCCAGATGATGCTGAGATTGCAAAAGGGATTATGATTAGAACTTAAGCCAAAAAATCGATGCGTAAATTTATTTATTTATTTATTTATTTATTTATATATATACAAGAAGGTACATTGGGTTTGTGAGAATACATTGGATAGTACAGTATTTACAATCTTGTAAAGCCACTAGTAAGCGCAGCGTTTCGGGCAGGTCCTTAATCTAACAGATAATATTAAGTGGGTAATTTCTATCAGAATTGATAAATGATAACAAATACATTGTAAGAGAAAAATGAGATGAGAGAATTAAGTAAGTTTATTAAAGCACATTGTTATATTAAAGCTCTGATTGATTACATTGACAGCTTGATTGGTAATTTAAACAATAGACACCATACAGCAGATTGACAGCACATATAAGACAGCAATGATCACAATGGTAAAGAAGCTCAGATTGGGTACATAAAGATTGGGAGACTGGGTAGCAATAGATACAGATAAACAAGATTAATTAACACCATACAGCAGATTGGCAGCACATATAAGAAGACAGCAATGATCACAATGGTGAAGATAATCAAATTGGGAACATAAAGGTTGGGAGATTGGGTAGCAATAGATACAGTGCAATTTTAAGGCAAAAGGTGAAAAACTATGAAGATGAAATTAGGTACATTTTAGTATTGGTTTTGAATGATGTAAAAGTTGGACAGCTTTTCTATTCAATAGGGAGTGAGTTCCATAAACTGGGTCCCTTTATTTGCATAGAGTGTTTACACAGATTAAGTTTAACTCTGGGGATATCAAAAAGATATTTATTTCTGGTGTGGTGATAATGGGTCCTATTACATCTGTCCAGGAAGAGTTTCAGAGCAGGATTTGCATTTAAGAACAGGGTTTTGTAAATGTAGTTGACACAAGAGAATTTATGGAGTGAGATTATGTTTAGCATGTTTAGGGAGTTAAACAAGGGGGCTGAGTGTTGCCTGAAAGCAGAATTTGATATTATTCTGATAGCAGAGTTTTGTTGGGTGATGATGGACTTGAGGTGGTTTGCAGTGGTTGAACCCCATGCACAGATACCATAGTTCGCAATGTTGACAATGTTAAATGTTCCCAAATATGAGACTGGGATTTATTTCTCGAAAAGTTAGAGATAAAATACGCTTTTTAGTTCTTTATTTTTAAAATTAAGATCAGGGATTCTGTCTAACGAAGCTGCAAGCTAAAACACCGTTATCATATAATGTTGTTCTGTAGCTTGACCCTAAATACTCGTTTATTAAACGAATTTATTGTTAGAGTTCATTAGGAATCAACTTTGTTGAAGGCAGAGCTTCCAGAAATACCTTCCTGTGATTGGCTGTTGCGGGGAATACCAACACTCTTTTATGAATAAGATTTAAACTAAGAAATAGGTCCTTGTGCACAACAACAAGGTTGTTGTGAAAACGAACAACAATTTCTGTTTTGCACCTGACAGAAATCTCCACCTAACTGAATAATTTACTCGAATAAGAGGGCAGATCAGTGTATCATTATTTGTATCATGGCAACCAAAATAATAACGTCACAAGTTAGGTAGCCAGCCCATTTTTATATAACATCTGTGTTACATCCTGCAGTATTTAATTATCACTATATTAATACTTTTAAATTTTTAACATTTCACTTTTTAGATAGATTAAAGTTGAAGCAGAATGTCATAAGCAAGGATGGTGTGCTGAATAAAGATGATTTATTAAGTGGATGAAGCCTTTAGCTGATCCCTTCCTGTGATTTGCTGTTGTGTGAATGTCAACAAAGAGTTTCTACCAATGATATGCCATCATTTTTTTTATTATGCAACTCAAACCATCTTGTGGGCGGAGCTTGGAATCTCCTACCCGAGCACAACAACCCGCCTTATGGGTTGCTGTTTGGCTATTTATAGTGCGTTGGAAAAAAAACAGATGGCGTTAGTTGTATTTTGTTGGATGATTTGTGATAAGTGTAATTTGATGTCAACAGATGGCGTAAGCTGTATCTTATGGCTACTGTTGACTAGCTAGTTGATAGTGTTCTCTTCTGCCGACAGATGGCATCAGCTGTATTATTATTATTATAATAATATTATTACATTAATAATAATGCATTATTATTACTTTAAACACTGATCTATACGTCTGGTAGCTTATAATAAGGTTTTATACCATGCTGGTATTAGGTATCTAGAATTCTGCAATTCCTTTTTTTATCTACTGTTGAGGATATGTAACACAAATGTAAGGTTTTGAGGCTAAGTAACGAAGATAGTTACAAGATACAAGCCAGATGGTGTTGAGATTGCAAAACGGATTATGATTAGAACTTAAGCCAAAAAAATCAATGCGTAAATGTTTGCAAATATGAGACTGGGATTTATTTCTCGAAAAGTTAGCAATAAAATACGCTTTTTAGTCTTTATTTTTTAAATTAAGACCAGGGATTCCGTCTAACGAAGCTGCAAGCTAAAACACCGTTATCATATAATGTTCGTCTGTAGCTTGACCCTAAATACACGTTTATCAAACGAATTTATTGTTAGAGTTCATTAGGAATCAACTTTGTTGAAGGCCGAGTTTCCAACAAATACCTTCCTGTGATTGGCTGTTGCGGGGAATGCCAACGCTTATATGAATAAAATGCAAAATAAGAAATACGTCCTTTTGCTCAATAACCTTGTTGTTGTACAAAAGAACAACAATTTCTGTTTTATACAAGACAGAAATTTCCATCTAACTGAATAATGTAGACGAATAAGAGGGCGAAGGCATTGTATCGCCAATATTATTTGTGTGAGGCAACCCCCCCTAATGAAGTCACAAGTTAGGTAGCCAGCCCATGTTTCTGTAACACCCGTTACATCCTGCAGTATTTAATTATCACTATATTAATACTTTTAAATACTTAACATTTCACTTTTTAGGTAGATTAAAGTTGAAGCAGAATGTCATTAGCAAGGATGGTGTGCTGAATAAAGATGATTTATAAGTGGATGGAGCCTTTAGCTGATCCCTTCCGGTGATTGGCTGTTGTGTGAATGTCAACAAAGAATATCTACCAATGATATGCCATTGATTATGCACCCCATACCATCTTGTGGGCAGAGCTTGGAACCTCCTACCCGAGTACAACAACCCGCCTTATGGGTTGCTGTTTGACTATTTATAGTGCGTTGGAAAATAACTAGATGGCGTTAGTTGTATTTTGTATGCTAATTTGTGATAAGTGTAATTTGATGTCAACAGATGGCGTAAGCTGTATCTTATGGCCACTGTTGACCAGCCAGTTGATAGTGTTCTCTGCTGCCGACAGATGGCATCAGCTGTGTTATTATTACTTCTGAATTCCCTTTAAACACTGATCTACAAATCCCTTGGCTTATGATAAGGTTTTATACCATTTATGATAAGTATTAAATAACTGGAGTTCCGCAATTACTTTTATTTATCAACTGTTCAGGATATCATCATATAACGTCTGATTAGGACGTACTGCTCTCGATTGATGAAGATTAAGCCACCCAAGAGGTGGCACGGGCATGAATAGCCCGTAAATACTGCTCTCGTATGCAGGCGATGAGTGACAATAACGTGGCTAAAGTATGATGATCAGACCACACACTAGAATGTGAAGGGACGACGACGTTTCGGTCCGTCCTGGACCATGAGGTGTAGGAGGTGGAATTCCTAGACTACAAGCCAGAGTGCACGAGGATATTGTGTGACACCCTAGGTGTTACCAGTGGAAGCCTAAGGAAGCTTAGAGGATTCACTTGAATCCCAGGGTTGCAATGCTTTTATTCCATGTGGTGTAGTGGTCTAAGGTGTTGCTTGGGAGTATCCACAGCATAGGTTCGAATCTTCTCCATGGCTCATGTTTTTCTCTGTCCCATGTCAATTATGTACTTCAAGACACTTTACTGCACTTTGCAAGCCACGGAATAGTAAAAAAAATGGTAGAGCTTTTGCCTCACGTTCGTTGGGTCGCGAGTTCCAGCCTTCTAGTTCCCAAGTGGATGAAATGAAACAATGCACAGAAGCTCCTGCAGAAGTGTTTTATAGTTGGGGCAGGTTCTGTTGTGTTGATATTGTGGTATAGCAGTAATTTTGAGTACCTCTTAAACATATCTGCTACAGTATCCATTGTTGACAACCGGCCAATTATATTACATATCGCTATAGCTTCATCCCATTAGACTCAGATTCTTGGCTCATGGGGCAAATATGCACTCGAGTTCCCGAAAGAGCTTGACTGAAAACTAAGTGAGGTAGATATGCAAGGCCTTCGAGTTTAGTATATATACACCCCTATACTCATCCTGTGTGTGGTAGTTTAAGAGATTTTGAGCGCACAAATAATCGGTTTAGGAGCTGAACCCAAATAGTCTTTGCACTAAGCCAGGCAGCTTTGTGTTACAGCATTGATTCCTTTGATGAAATGCACTCTTGTTACCATAATTAATAATTTTTTATATTTTTGTCTAGCTTCAGACATGGGCATGCTACAGTTCGGTTTAAGGAGTCGAGCACAAATAAGGATGATAAAGAATCTTTTACAATTAATGGGTCAAGTTTGGAGACATGTACGCATTTGAGTGAAAGGATATATTATTGTAAATGGTTCGGGCTGAAGGGTAAAACCCAGTCATTTATACGGACTTCCAACTCAAAATATAAGCTATCACCCATTGTCAGGACGACTGGACTTTCAACTGCCCCAGCGAGGTGGCGGAGAAAACCCTCCGTGTATGTGATTTGAGCGAGGGAATATGGAAAATAATTGTAAACATAAGTATATATGTATAAACATACATATATATATGTGGATGAACACGCAGGACACGTACGACCCTTGTTCTTATGCCCCCCAGTTGTGTGTCCCATGACTTTGACTTGAGAGAGAGCAAGGAGTGGAGCGGAAAACACTTTATCAGTCTCCAGCGTCATATCCGATCCATACAGAGAGCTAACTCAGTGACCGTCGGTCTGTCTGTCAGTCAGTTTGACGTTCGCCTCAGTCTCTTGAGCATTACGTCGGCCTCGCGGTCTTACGTCGGCCGACGTCCATCTACGATGCGGTAAGTCAAGAATGTGAAAAACTAGTTTCGTGGGAATTTTGATTTGCCCTTGAACAAGGGAGGAGGGGCTGCGTCTACAGGCAAGTTATTGGTTCGTGTTTGTAAAGAAGACACGTCGATGCTGCGAGACTGGTCGAATTTTGTAGAATATATATTTTTTGTTCTGTTGTATAGCATTAATTGTCGATTGTTCTTTGTCTTAAGCTTGGCGAATGGGTCAATTTCATCACCAAATTTAACCATACTTAATTAAGCTTGGCGAACCTTGGTCCTTCCCTTATACCTGCCTGTCTGGTGAACAACTATTAAAACCCCCCAAAAGACCCAGCGGCCCATGGGAGGGAGACTCGGGCAATCTCCTACATCACCAAACATGTTCCTGTATGTAATAATAATTCAATATAATTCTCTGTGTCGGAGGGACATAAAGCCAGAGTGTTGACCAGACCACACACTAGAAGGTGAAGGGACGACGACGTTTCGGTCCGTCCTGGACCATTCTCAAGTCGATTGTCTAGTGTGTGGTCTGGTCAACATATTTTAGCCACGTTATTGTGACTCATCGCCTGCATAAGGAAAGCCAGAGTGTGTTCATACGCGGTAGGTTTTTTTATCGAGGCCCTACCTCCTCCCTCCCAGGGTGGAATTACTGACCCCGCCCAGGATGTAACCCCACAACAAGCTGACTAACTCCTGAGTACCTACTTTCTGCTAGGTGAACAAAGGCATTAGGTGAAAGGAAATGAGCCCAACTATTTCTGTCCCGCCCCCGAGACTCGAATCCGGATTTCTCCGGATTGTGCGTCGAGAACGAACCCGACTGGACTACCGGGATCCTACCGGTACAGTAGTCCCTGTACTATCGAGACCCGGGTATGTGTATCGCCTTCGCTTGAAACAACCCAGCGATCACACGTGTATTATGTTACCCATCAATTTGTTCCTTAAATCTGGAACTTTTTCCTCAAGGCCATTTACCGAGGTCATTTCTGAATCTAATGTTATCCAACTTGCGTCCATTTCTGTCTATTCCGTTTATTGTGTTTCCATATAATAGTATCCCCTTTGTTAGACTTTCATCAGTTGATATATTTGTCTTGTCACTAATTCTTCGCCTTTTCAGAAAACGCAAGTTAGATTTTTTCTTTAGTCTGTTAATGCTGGAGGTTTCTTATATCTAAACAGGTTAAGTATTCATAACGAGAATCATTTTTAAAAACATTAAAGGTGACTGCAGAAGGTCTATTGGCCCATACGAGGCAGATCCTAATTATAACCACCCAATCCCACTCACGTACATGTCCAACCCACAAACAATTTGCAATTTTTGTTAAACAATTTACACTCATTCACACCACTATGTTTCAGGCTAGTTGGAAGCACTGCAACATTGCATACCTTGACTTTAAGAAAGCTTTTGATTTTGTGCCTCATATAAGACTTACCACAACGTTACAAGCACATGGTATTGGGGAAAGGGTTATTGTAAATTGCTTTAGGAAGGGGTTATTTGAAAGGAAACAGACGGTTAGAATAAACCAGAGATATGGATTTTTTCTTCAGCTTTAACTTTAAATTTGTTGGCGTCATTTAGATAATGATGTTCAGTTTTGGCCACAGTACAGTAAAATGAATATCTGTTATTCTAAGACGTAAAGAGACCGGCTTTTGGAGTTATCGATTCACGGTTTGGATTCACGGTGCGGGCCATATCTTAGGGTCCTGTTACTACTGACCAGAACTACCCCAAATACCTGCCTGTTCCACCAGTGTAAGCCTCTATAAAACACACCGATAGCCAATTCAGCTGGACTTCACATTGTGTATTGATAAACTATTCCAGTTATTGTTATTATTACTGTTATAGTTTATATTGGCGGTGTTATTAAAGTAGCCACAGTGTTCAATATCGACGTAAAGATTTAAGCTATATATTATAACATACGCTATTGAACTATAGTTTACACTATTGGAGTATAGCATAAACTATTGGGGTATAGCATACACATTGGGGTATAACACACACTATTGGGGTGTAACATACACTATTGGATTATAGCATCCACTGTTTGATTATAGCATCCACTGTTGGATTATAGCATCCACTGTTTGATTATAGCATCCACTATTGGATTATAGCATCCACTATTGGATTATAGCATCCACTATTGGATTATAGCATCCACTGTTGGATTATAGCATCCACTATTGGATTATAGCATCCACTATTGGATTATAGCATCCACTATTGGATTATAGCATCCACTGTTGGATTATAGCATCCACTATTGGATTATAGCATCCACTATTGGATTATAGCATCCACTATTGGATTATAGCATCCACTGTTGGATTATAGCATCCACTATTGGATTATAGCATCCACTATTGGATTATAGCATCCACTATTGGATTATAGCATCCACTGTTGGATTATAGCATCCACTGTTGGATTATAGCATCCACTGTTGGATTATAGCATCCACTGTTGGATTATAGCATCCACTGTTGGATTATAGCATCCACTGTTGGATTATAGCATCCACTATTGGATTATAGCATCCACTGTTGGATTATAGCATCCACTATTGGATTATAGCATCCACTATTGGATTATAGCATCCACTATTGGATTATAGCATCCACTGTTGGATTATAGCATCCACTGTTGGATTATAGCATCCACTATTGGATTATAGCATCCACTGTTGGATTATAGCATCCACTATTGGATTATAGCATCCACTGTTGGATTATAGCATCCACTATTGGATTATAGCATCCACTGTTGGATTATAGCATCCACTGTTGGATTATAGCATCCACTGTTGGATTATAGCATCCACTGTTGGATTATAGCATCCACTGTTGGATTATAGCATCCACTGTTGGATTATAGCATCCACTGTTGGATTATAGCATCCACTGTTGGATTATAGCATCCACTGTTGGATTATAGCATCCACTGTTGGATTATAGCATCCACTGTTGGATTATAGCATCCACTGTTGGATTATAGCATCCACTGTTGGATTATAGCATCCAGTATTGGATTATAACATACACAAGAGTCCGGCGCTGTGGGCTCCTGATACGTCTGGTCCCAGAGGTTGAAGACATTCTGTTTAGTTATACACAAGTTAATACAGTGATGAATTGTATTCATAGAAATAGTATAAAAGCGTCAAGAAACGTCGATACGGGATCACCATAGCCCGTGCTACTTAGAACTTTTCTTCCGATTAGCTGAATCTTAAATAACAACAACGAAATAGTTAAGCCGGGAGGATGTTTTACTCAAAATCTACAATAATATCCCAAAGCCTACTGTATGTTGTTGTTGTTGTTGTTGTTGTTTTAGATTTGGCTTCTCGGAACCAAAAGTTGCAAGTAGCACGGGCTATGGCGAGCCCGTAGTGGACTGACTTACCTGACACAGGAGCGGGACCAATTGCACAGTACATAATGTATGTACTGTCTATATACAAGTTGTGAGTATATGTATGTCGATGGTATCTTGTATAATGACTACAAGGGTACGAGCATGATCATGGCAACTTGTATAATGACTACAAGGGTACGAGCGTGATCATGCCAACTTGTATAATGACTACAAGGGTACGAGCATGTCCATGGCAACTTGTATAATGACTACAAAGGTACGAGCGTCATCATGGCAACCCATCCTCCAAAATTTATTATCCCATACATCAACCACACATAATATGACCTGCTATACAAGAGAACCTACACGTTCCCTACTACTGCATTTAAAAGGACACGGGGAAAATGGTACTGACTTAACCAATAAATTCATAATGTATGCAAACTTAGAACACAAGCACTACAGTAGCCCCTATCTCAATAAAACAACATTTATTCTCTTGCTAAAGCAACAGTTTATATTTTGTATGTATTATATATATATATATATATATATATATATATATATATATATATATATATATATATATATATATATATATATATATTATATATATATTTTTATTTATTTTACAGTCGCTACACGGGCTTTTATTTTTGTCGCCGCCCCAAAATATGCTCGAATAACGATAAATCAACAACGGATAACCGTTATCAACGTCGTTTGCCCAGGGGAGCGCCGTTGTTATTCAGGAGGGGGGGGGGGTGGGGGTTCGTACACTCTCGTTTCGTTCGTACTGCATCAAACGAATGCCGATAACCCAATAGGAAAACTAGCTCGAAGTAACGAGCAAGTAACGGGGAGCCAGCATTAGTAGTTGAATTATTAGCAAAACGTTACTTCAATACCATTTCATTTAGCCTTCTGGAAAGGCCCTAATTAAGTGGCGTCAGCATAACTTTGCAAAGCTTAATTGCATCATGCTTTTAAAGTGATTAATGAAAACAGGAACCAAATTCTCAATCAGTCTGTGTTAGGTCAGGTTTCGACATGCTTAGCTTATTTGCAGAAAGAAGCGAAATATTTATGTCTTGCTTATCTGACACAGGTCACTGCTGATGGATGATGACAGACTACAGAGGTTGTCAGCATATGGAGGAATCTTGTTGAAGATTCAACAAGATTTCATGAACCTGGAATGATTCATGGAGTGATTCATGGATGATCTCATGGATTAATTCCATAAACCATGAATCTGGTTTAACTAATTGTTAAATTAGTTAAAAATGGGGTAAGAGCCTTGTCCCATGTCATAAACCTTGCTAGAGGGGAGAAAAAGGCTGGTGAAAAGCTGAGGAGAGTTTTAGTAATGGTGTTAGATACTATGTCGAATTAGGAAGATTTTGGAGGGGTTTCAAATCTCCAGTTTTGTATTAATCATTCTCACCTATTGGCAGGCTGAAGAGGTTGTGGGTGGTGATGGTGACCCTGGAGGCGGTGGTCGTGTGGGAGGCCGCAGCACAGGGAAACTGCAATCATTTAGACACCCGGAGGCGCCCTGAACCCTGCGCGTGGGCTGCGAATCCGGAAGAAAACAGGAACGGCTTCCTCAACTGGCTCATATTGGGCTGCAACGTTGACACCGATAGGTAAGTTCACAGACAACAAGCACCACCACAACACTCAGGCATCACACAGAACAAGCACAACCATAACTCTAGAAGCCATCTAGTGCGGCACCTCACCGCTTTATAAGATTAGGTATACAGTGGTGCTGGTGCCTGGTCATATACTTACAAAACACACTTACTGCTGCCACCTAATCTCGTTTCTCACAGCATCCCGCGTCCTGTTTATACTCTAGCCGCTCTCTCTCTCTCTCTCTCTATGCCTCTCTCTCACAATCATTATGTTCGGTCATCATCTTAACCTGCCTCTGCTACACTCAAATTCGCTCCAGAATAATATTTCTCTTCGCTAGTCATTATCCTTTCAGTCAACGTGACCGAGCAATCTCCGAACATGCTTCAATCTTGTTTTTTTTTCACCTTTACATATATTTCATTATATATAATGCATTATATTTCTTTTACCAACTATATCTTCAAAGTCTTAACATGTTCTAATTGTTAATTTTTGGGGGGTTAGATTTTTTATTTGCTTATAGAGGGCTTATATCACTCAGTATTTAAACTGGTGAACCCCTTCTAGCACTCTTCACACTGAAAATTCTAGCACTCTTCACACTGAAAATTCTAGCACTCTTCACACTGAAAATTTCACACACTAAATTTTCTTTTTTTTTCGCAACAACTTCTTTTTTTTGTAAGTCGATTGTGGTGTGTCCCGACTGATTGTCCCTTCACCTTCTAGTGTGTGGTCTGGTCAACATAATTTAGCCACGTTATTGTGACTCATTGCCTGCATTTCACATGACAGTTTTGGCATGCAACAATTACTCATCATACAGCCCGTCCTTCTGGAGTTTTCCAACGTCAAGAAAACGGTCAATGTTAAAGTGGTGTCACCTAACCTACCAGGGGACCCAAAACAGAAAACTGGACAGTACGTCACTTTCGCGAGCCGCTTCCATTTTCAAGTACGATAATTTTTGGATTTATGGAACGCATACGATCGAAATGCGACGTTCTTTGTAAGAGAACAGGTTGCTTCATAAACTAAGGTGACACTTCCCCCCCCTCTCTCTCTCTCTGGTCTCTGTCTCTCTCTCTCTCTCTCTCTCTCTCTCTCTCTCTCTCTCTCTCTCTCTCTCTCTCTCTCTCTCTCTCTCTCTCTCTCTCTCTCTCTCTCTCTCTCTCTAATATTCTTATCACAATCTTCCTCATAATCACACCACACTCCAGCTTTAGCACTAATATGCTGGTCACTCCCATAGGAACATATACAGGTGTTCTTTCATGTTCTTCTCATACCAGCGACACCAATCACATTCCTTGTTCTCATATCCCTTCCACCCATCACATTCTTAAACGTGTTCTTTTCATCTACTTCCGATTTCATTTTGACTATAATGTAGCAATCTATAACTTTTCATTCAACTTTCCTATTATTTTTCGCTGCACTTCTTATCAAAAAACCGCCTTCTGTTTTCATAATTTTTTTGTTCAAGTTTTCTATCGAACTCCTCATTTAATCTTGTGTTTTTCTGCTTAATCCATTTTTATGCGCCTTTCACTCTCATCATTCTAGCTGTTTCCTCACCACTCTTTCATTCACTTGGTATTCACCAAATCCATCCCTCGTAATTCTGGGACGAGGCTCGTTGCAAACTTCTGAACGTTTACAAGTTTTCTTGCGTGTCTTTTGAGGTGTAAACTTCAAGGCAAAGATGCATACTCTAAGAGTGATCTCACGTAGGTGGTGACTTGTGTTCTGAATGCCTCATTGCAAAAGGTTTTTGAAGGCTGCTTTGATGTTCGTCACCTTCAGGTTTGCAAGTGTGTGTGCGCGTGTTTATACGTGTGTATTCACACGAATGCACGTGTTTTTAGTTCGCGTGTGTGTGTTTACGTTTTCCTAAATAACATCCGGATAATCTCGTCTTAGCATGTAAAGACTCACGAAGGTCTGTAGCAACAGTTTTCTCTCTATTTCTTTCCTCTCAGTGAGCTCCTACAGCGAATAGCTACGTTCCTATTTACCTAGTTTATCTGGAGTGGATTCTGGGAGATCTCCTGCGCACCAAGCCCGGCATGGGACCAAGCTTGACCTGTGGCTAGTCCATTCACTTGTTAAACAAGTCCTGTTGTCTAACGCAAAATTTAAACACATTCCACTGGATGTTAGTTACGTTATACTCTAATCTATTAGGTTATATTAATTTCCATTCCTGTAGCATCGGCTACTATATTTTGAGGCTTGGAAGGGGAGTATCAGAGGAATGCGCCAAGCCATTACGACTATATATAGCACTTGGAAAGGGGACAGGATAAGGATTTGTGATGGGACGGGGTGGAAGGAATGGTGCCCAACTACTTGAACGGTCGGGGATTGAACGCCGACCTGCATGAAGCGAGACCATTGCTCTACCGTCCAGTCCAAGTGGCTGGGATTGGAGGCTTGGAGTGGAATGATGTTAACGATCTTCAATTGTTTTCAGAGGGACTCCTACAGGATGCTTGGCAAACCCTTAGGATAAGTGTAAAGGTTCTTGCGATAAATAAATGTCAGCTACTGCTTATACCGGAAACACGTCTCGCTATACTACAGGAAGGTGAGAGATTGGACTGGCAGCTGTCGGGATGTGGTTGTTGGGGTCTGGCTGGGGTTTGCGAAATGTTTGTGGGTTGTGAAATTGCCTGTTGAATATGGGATTAGCCGAGAGTCGAGTACCATATTGTAGAATATGTTTTGTGATGAACTGTGATAAGATTATGAGAAAGGAATGGCGAGATTGGAATGCAATAGAGTATGGGCTTGAGGTATAGTACGAATTGTGGAACGCATAATTTATTCGTACTTTGGTTGTAAGTTTTTCGACCAACTGTGGATTGGGTTGTGGAATGAACAGTGGGTTGGGCAGTAAGTTGGGTTGTTGAATATGGTAATTGCTTTGGGTTGTTAGTCAAGATATGGGATTAGACTGAGGCAGTGGACTCTAATTACACTGGCAAAAAGGAGTAAGACGTGACATGATACAGATACACAAAATACCGAGGTATTGATGAAATAAAGACAAGTGTATAGTCAGAAAGCAAATGGAGCGAATAACAAGAGTGAAATAAAACTACTGATGTAGGTAGAATCCATTAACACAACATATTACAAGAAACTAAAGGAGCAGAAGCTATTGCACTAGAAGAGCAACAGTTGGAAAGGTGGGGCCCTGGAGCTGAATCCCTGTTATACAAAGACTGTTAGGCAAGGACGCACCTCTTGAGCCTCGCCTCACCTGACACTGGTGGCCAGACCCCCTCCCCCTCACTGCCCATTGATCTATATGATGCGTGTAGTTATGGTTCCCCATGGACAGCCCCGCTCCTGTGCCAGGTAAGTCCACTACGGGCTCACCATAGCCCGTGCTACTTGGAACTTTTGTTCCGAGTAGCTGAATTTAAAACAGCAACAACATGTAGTTCCCCTCATCCTGATCTACTGTTACTACCTCCTCTTCATCAAGACCCACCCGGAACCCCTCACTCATTTCCCCTCTACACCACACTCTACATTCGCCCTAAAAACACGCTGCTTACACCTTACAAATAGCTTTATGTATCCACATGCTCCCAGCCTACTTTCAACTCTCATGTGTTCTATCTGATGTTACATCTTTTCCCTTTCCTATGCCACATTCCACTCGTTAAATTTTCCCTCAACCAAGACCCGGATATCTCAGTCTCTCTGCTCCTTTATACCAGAATCCACATGCCTTCTCTCAACTCCCTGGATCTCTCCACCAACTCTTATTTCTAGCTTCAATTCTGCTATACTTTCCATCCTCGTATCTACCACACTATCTACCCCCCTAATTCATATTTTGCACTCCCCTTTCTGCTCTAATGCCCTGTCAATCCTATCCCTATGCTCCCCCCTTCAAAAAATCCGATCCTTTCCCCTAATATATACCATTACCGTCCTTTTCCCAAGGCATATAACCTCTTTCTAAATACTCTTAAAACCCTAAATCCCTGCCTACTTCAAAACCTACCCATACCTCGTTTTCTCCAATATTGAATACAATCCCTGCACTCTCCATAGAAATACTGAAACTCGAGCTGTATCCTGTGCCCGATAACAGCCAAGACTTCAGGCCTAAAACCGCTCTAAAAAGAGGCAGAGATAAGGTGAAAAGCCTAAAAGTCTGGTATACCAATGGAATACCAAAAGGCAATAAATTGAGAAAAGAAAAGAACCTAAAATAATAGCAACAGTGTTAAACAAATCTAACCGAAATGATAAAAAATGTAATATTTGATAAGAGAGAACCACACAAAGAGAATGAACGTGGAGCGAACTATTGTCTTTCAAAACAAAAGAAACATTGGATTTCGATATACGTTTAAATCATGATGCATATGGACACAGTTTATCTGAAAATGAACCTTACCAAATTATGAGATTTTGTTAGAGCTAGAACCTTTCCTCTCCAGAGAACAAGAGACACAAGCAGGAGAATGATTTAATAACAAGACTGGTGTAAATGTTATATAGGGGTGGCAGAAACACTCAATTGACGAGTGCAAAGTTGCTAACCATTGGGAACTTCAACCAAGAAGTAATAAACTTGCAAGAGAAAATCATGGATAAACAGGAAGAAGAAGAAGAGACATGGAGGCCAAACTTGGTGGGTGTAGCAATGAGGAAATCCTTGATATAGCATATCAAACAGGAAAGAAGAATGTTAATGATTTAATTGTAACACTACAAATGTTTATAGAACAATGCATATAAAGTTATATTACATAACCATTATATACTTGGAGGGGGGAGGGGGTACCACTTATGGTTGTAGGAACCCTCGTCCTCGAAGAAGAGGATATGTAGCATCAAAAGGAGCCTGTGGGGCTTCCACGTAAGCTCACATACTGTCTTCTACCATCCACTATATATATATTTTGTATGCACATTTTATATAAATCACACTACGCAAGCCATTACTGTGTACTAGTCTTTGGAAAGTTTAACAATGATACAAGCCACTAAGAATAGAAAATGGGGAAAACATTAGTGTGCTGGAAAGCTAGTACTAGGAATTCTAGAGTATCTCTAGAGTGTCAAACCCAGTGATGGGGAACAAGATACTTCAGCAGACAATACGACTGCCTACACACGCACAAATTACAAGGAAGCTGATAGAAGGTTCATACTGCCTCAAATAAATCAAGGATGAAAGCACTGTTTGGAAGAAAAGAAAAAATGCTTTGGAAAAATGCAGCTACGACCAAGCAAGGAGAATCACATTTACAAGAGAACAAGAAGTGAATATATAGAACCCGGGACATAGAATAATATAAGATAATCCAACAAAGTTGACAAAGAATCATTGTTCAAAATGGAAAAAAATGGATCGAGGGGAACATTGATGGCAAGTGAAGAATCAAATGAATCACAGATAAAGTCTTTATATCTTTCACAACGTTCGAGTTTTTTAAACAGATAGAACAGGCTGAAAGGATATGTTGTCGAAGCAAATTCCATACAGAATTTCAAAAGCAAATACCATAATATAATGGACGTATTGAATCATTCACTTGGCCAACTAATTGCAAGAAAGGCGGGGCTTAGAAGCTACATGTTAACCCTGAAAGGACATACACATACACATGTCCTCTTCTAAGGAAATTTCTGCATCATTATCGTTGGGTAAGAAAAAATAGGACACGTGGGAGGTGGAGAGAAGAGATCAGAGAAAAAGACTGGAAGAAGAGGCAGACTGGAGAAAAGGAGGGCGGTAGGTAAGGCAGACTAGATAAGGATATGGAAGGGTGGAAGGATGGGGCAAGGCAGACTGGAGGAGGGAAAGGTAGAATGAATAAGGCAGTGGAGGAGGGGCGGGGTATCTATCTTAAGGCTATCTTTAGATGATTTCGGGGCTTAGCGTCCCCGCGGCCAGGTCTTCGACCAGGCCTCCTTTTTGTTACACACCTCTAGGAAGCAGCCTGTAGCAGCTATCTAACTCCCAGGAACCTATTTACTGCTAGGTGAACAGGGGGTATCAGGGTGAAAGAAACATTTTGCCCATTTATCTCCGCCTCCACCGGGGATCGAACCCGGAACCTCAAGACTACAAATCCGAAGCGCTGTCCACTCAGCTGTCAGGCTCTACCTCAGGGGTGAGAGAGGACAGACTAAACAAGACCGGGGGAGGAGGGGGTGCTGGGGAGAGCATTTCACTCTCATAATGCACCTTATCACTACTCTACATTGGCATTTCCTGACAATTTATTAATTTTATACGCTTAAGGCAACGAGTTTTACATCGGTGTATTGAAACATTACATACACATGCATGTATAGATATGTCACGAATCTATATATATAAACTATTCTCATAATCATATAATTAATACTAATTATTATATAAGAATATCAATTAGAGTATTGCAGTGGATTCGAACCCTCGACCAGGGTGGTTGGACCCCAGCCGTGCACCTTACTTCTGGACCACGATATGATATAAATTATACAACCTGAGATTCCACAGGACGTCTGGAGGCTCTTACAGTCCAAAGTGTACTTTTAACCCCCATACACTCTGGTGTAAGTAGTGATGTTCTGGAGGCCACTAGGGGCCTCCAGGTGTACTGTGGCTTCAGTGACCCCAGGATCTTTAACCTATACCATGTCATGGTCCAGAACAAGGTGTGCGGCTTGGAAGTACTCAGGATGAGGGTTCGAATCCTTCGCATGCCTCCACCTGATTTTAGCATTGATATACCACGTTAGTGTGCTAACGTGTGTGTAATTGTGTGCTAATTTCTAATGTGCCAATTTGTGTGTACGTGTCATCAATTTATTTTACCATTATTGAAAAGTTTAGATATTTATTTTTAAAAGGTTGTATATATATGTGTTGTATTGTATCTTGTTACTGTGTGTCTTCAGGTGCGGCCGTAGAGAGTCGAACCCTCACGTGGAGTATGAGGGTTACGACGGGTGGTACAACAACTTCGCCAGACCCAGCCAGGGAGCCGTGGGTGAGTTCAGCGTTGTAGTACACAATTTTCTGGTCGTTATAACGACTCTAGAGGACGGACTGGTGTAGTCACTCCTGCCTCAGACGTGTAGCCACACACACTGTCAGATACACGCGCATATTCACCCTTGTTGTCGTTTTAGATTCCGCTACTTGGAACAAAATGTTCCAAGTAGCACGGGTTATGGTGAGCCCGTAGAGGACTTATCTGACACAGGAGCGGGGCTGTAACGCTGCGGTGTTTAACCGCACGTACACCCTGCCTAGCTGGTAGTCACTTAGTTGAATCGAAATCCTCAGAATAGGCAAAATTGTAATTAATTTTGTCAATAAAGATGTTAATAATAATAACTTAGTTGTCAAGTATACGAGCATTCGCCCCCAAGTTGTCAAGTCCATAGGGACGACCGTCAAAGCTGGCAAATACAGTGACACTCACTGTTGCAGGCCTAGATTCAGCAGGCATTTAAACGACCACCTACGAAACAAGTACATCTTTCCGCAATCATGACGAGTTTGTTTACTTTTATTAAACAGTTTACGAGCTTCGAAACTTTACCATGCAAGGATATTATGGTTATAAACAACATTGTTGTGCTTCGGAGCTGAAAACACGTTCAATAAATGTAAAAACAAAGCCGCCGTGACTGAGGAAAGACGTGCAGGTCTCGCAAGTGGGTGTGTTTGACGACTCCTGATCCACGACATCCGTCCTGTGCATAGTTTCATGGAGTGTTCGTCCGCCAGGAAATGTGTTCATGTCAGGACGTCAAATATGCTTCAGGGCGTCGAGGGAAATCTCCCGGAAAGACAAACATTCAGCGTAAAAAAATAAACAATGATAAATAACATAAGCCTTGTCTAGTGAAAAAGAAATAACGTGTTTTTATATAGTTTGAACATCAAACTTTAATTAAAACAAATAGCAAAATGTGGTATTCCTAAGTCACTTTATCCGTTAACTCATTGTTAAAAGATATAAGTTAAAATCTTCATATGATGAATAGTGACTTTGGCTCCTCTTTTAAATACTAAAAGTACTAAAGCAGTAAGTAAATGGCTTAACTAGTAAGAATAACGTCACCTTAGTCCAGGGGTGACCTTAGTCACCATCGTCCTCGTTTCGGTCCAGGACGGACCGAAAGGTCGTCGTCCCTTCACCTTCTAGTGTGTGGTCTGGTCAACATACTTCAGCCACGTTATTGTGACTCATCGCCTGCAACGTCACCTTACCTTGAGATGGTTTCGAGGCTTAGCGTCCCCGCGGCCCGATCCTCGACCATGCCTCCCAAGTCACAGGTCCAAGTAAGGCGTCCCTCACCAGGACTAGCGGCGTCGCCGTTGCCTCTAGTGAGGTCTTCACTACAGAGCGTCCAGCCCCACTACTCCACCTCTCGTTTGTTTTGGTAGGGCGACAGACGACGTTGGGTGAGATGGTGGTTCCCACTAACGATCGTTACCCCCCAATTCCTTTAGTTATGTTTAGTTAACCGCCTGGAATATATGTATTTTTTTGTTAAATATTCATACAATCTTAGTATATATAATAATATGTGTACATATCAATATAGAACAATCTTTGTCCATATAACAAGAAACTCGTAGCACTCATAATAGATCTCTAAGAAATAAGCATCTTATATATATATATATATATATATATATATATATATATATATATATATATATATATATATATATATATATATATATATATATATATATATATAAAACCTACCCTAGCCTCATGAACAAATCCACAAGGATCGTAATGAGGGTTCGAACTCCTGTTTGTCCATCAATGTTCCGTTCAATTCAATTCAATCAGCCTCAGTTTGTCCATCAATGTTGTTCTTTGAGATACATGACTGCTGCCTTCCACGGCTCCTCGTACTACCGCCATTTTGGTAAATGCACTATAGTCAATAGTCCAACTCTAACAAGCCCTTTCCTCCTGCCGATGGTACAACTAAATAATCGCTATCGCCTCCGTAGACACTCCTCTTCTGCGTCTACTGCCGCCTGCCTACAAGGACGGGGTCTACGAGCCGGCCAACAGGACCACCAATCCACTTTACATCAGCAGAATGCTTATGTCTGGAAACAATGGAATGTTATCCAGAGGCGGTAGAACAGCTTTCCTCGTCTTCTTCGGTGAGATAACTTGTCGTTTCTTCGTTTTTCTTCGATACAAGATAAGAGACCGAGTAAATAAATTCGATTGGTAACATGTTCAACTGGAAGGTTTATAATTACAGAGGCGATGATAAAAAACAGCGAGGTTTACATAATGACGCAATTCACAGCATGGTTGACAAGAAGGTTTATGGTTGACAGGTCAGCAGGTAGTGGAGGAGATACTGGACGCTCAAGGAGCAGGATGCCCTCCCGAATATTTCAACATTCCAGTGGAAGAAAATCACGAATATTTTACAGACAACCCCAAGCTGAAGGAACTACCTCTCCTGCGTACGCGCTACGACATGACGACCGGCTTCTCTCCGAACAACCCACGCCAGCAGGTACAAAATGGCTTTATACGTGTAGCAGAAGTTGTAATACTCCCCAAGCCCACATAGCAAGTAGGCTTGCTATGTGGCATGCTTCATAGGCATGCCATATACCTACTGAGGCATGCTACTTGCCCCAGTAGGTTTGAGGCAGGTAGCATCACTTCGTCAGGAAATGAGGGCAATTCTTAAAATTAAGATTTTGCTGTAAACTCTAGCATATATATATATAATAAAATAATAGATTAGAACCTAAAATTAGAAGCTTAGATCTCTCACTGAGTATGACAGATAGATATGATAAAGTCCCTCGATCATTCTATCATTATTAAACATTGTTATTATTATTAACATTGAAGTTATTAGAATCAACATTTCTGTATTGTTGTTACTGATAATGGTATTATTACGTTTTTAATTGTGCTTGCTCTCATTATTTGTTGTTGGCTATTGCAGCTGAACGAGATCACACCCTACATGGATGGGGGTCTGGTGTATGGCACCGCTAAGGGCTGGGCTGATGTGCTTAGAACCTTTTCCAATGGCTCCTTGGCACCCGATGGCCTCCTGGCCTGGCATGATGAGGTGAGTGAGCGGGCCGGCCTCTCAAGTTTTCAACAACGCCACAAAAATGGTGTATTAAATTACCCGAACTTAAACGAGGATTTACGAATAGAAAACGTGACAGCCTGTCAATTTTGAGAGCCACTGTTATTTACACACATCATATTTTGGCCGTTGTGAATTTATACGTCAAAATGTGATTTACTATTCGAGAGGGCAGGCTGGAAGGGAAGTGATATGTGTAGATAGAGAAGATGGGAAGAGGAAGTGGAAGTGACGCATTTCCTATCACCCAATGCCCCTGTTCACCTAACAGTAAGTAGGTACTTAGGAGTTAGTCAGCTTGTTGTGGGATTGCATCGTTAGTGGTTAGTAATTCGGCTTTGAGTGGAGGACCTTGATATAAGCCTAACGTGAATGAACACGCTGGCTGCCTGTCACCCCGACACAATGATTTATTATTATTATATTATTTCATCCATCTAGGGTCCTGAGGCTAGATTCACGAAGCAGTTACGCAAGCACTTACGAATCTGCACATTTGTTCTCAATCTTTGGCGGTTTTGTTTACAATTATTAAAGAGTTAATGAGCTCTGAAGCACCAGGAGGCTGTTTATAGTAATAACAACAGTTGATTGACAAGTTTTCACGCTTGTAAACTGTTTAATAAATGTAACCAAAGCCGTCATAGATTGAGGACAGATGTACACATTCATAAGTCCTTGCATAACTGCTTCGTGAATCCGGGTCCTGGCCCTTGATCCTCGGAGAATCAAACCTCCATGCATACAGTGGCATACGTACAGGGGTTTAATTCTCAAACCCCTACGCGTATTTGACACGTATTAGTACACGAAGCCAAACTCGCAACCGGAAGGAGGCCGGTGACAGAACCACTCACCAAACCTGTCTCTTAAACGTGCAGAGTACAACCATAGCTGCCAAAAGCATTCCATCTCCATATCATAAAAAAATAAACCTTCAAATCACGCTATCGCGGAAATAAGAAATTCATCCACTTGGACTGTCGGGGGAATCGAACCTAGAATGGGGCTTTGAATGTGTAAGAGAAGATTGAAATGTGTTAAGAAGTGGGTTGGAATGTATCTGAAGGGTGTAGGGGATTTATAGTGGGGGTTGTCTGTAGTGGTGGTGGGTGGTGGGGGGTGCCAGTGGCACAGAGGCGTCTGTAGTGGTAGGGGTGTTGGGGTAGGAGGGGTCTATGATAGTGAGGTGTCCGTTAAGGGGAGGTGTTTGTGGTGATGGAGGATGAAGGGAGGGAGGGTATCTGTTAATGTGGAATGGGGTTTATTGTGGTGAGGTGTCTGAGGGGGTGGGGGTGTCTGTGGTAATGGTTGTCTCAGTTGAGATGGATGGGGTGTGTCTAATGATAGTTGTGGCTGGATGTGTGTGTGTCTATGTCTGTGGCAGTCAGTCGAGTACAAGGTGTAGCGAGTGTTTAAAGACCAGTTGACCAGACCACACACTAGAAGATGAAGGGACAACGACGTTTCGGTCCGTCCTGGACCATTCTCAAGTCAATTCCTGGTTTCAAGACCAGTATTATCATTTTCCAGCTGGGGGAAGGTTTTCCCGCCCAAAACACCCAGCGCCTGCCTATGGCCAACCCGCCCCCGCCTACCAACCACTCGGAGTTCGTCGAAAGAAGCTCAACAGCTCCAGTCGACCGGTTCTTTAGTGAGTTTCTGTTTAACATTACAGTTACAATCTGCAAGAAAGGTAGAATCAATATACATTCTATATATATATATATATATATATATATATATATATATATATATATATATATATATATATATATATATATATATATATATATATATTATTTTTGTTTAAAAAGTTTGTGAGGGTACCACCTCTGGTGCCAATGTGGGGACCCATAGCCTCGGAGAAGAAAATAAAAAGTATTCAGAGGAGACCTTGTGGTCTCTCACTGAATACTAATATTATCTTCTCCTACCACCCCCATTCTTTTGTATGTACACATATATATTTGATATATATATATATATATATATATATATATATATATATATATATATATATATATAGATATGTGTTAATATGACATAAAGGGTTAGATAAACAATTCTTATTTGGAAAGGAAGTTGAATAATAAACTCTCCAATATTCAGTTTAGCACTGCAACAGAGTTAAAAACAACTAAACAAAATGAGAGCTTGATTATTGGACTATCTGTTCATCAGGATTCTTGACTTCCTCTCACAGAGCTGGGGAATCCAAGAGGGAATGAGAACCCGTTTCTGCTAACCTTCGGAATCTTCTGGTTCCGTTGGCACAATGTGATAGCGAGGTTCCTGAGGAGAAATCATATCGACTGGTCAGGTAAGCTGAGGTCTCTACCACCTCGTTAATAACAGACCAGGTAAGCTGAGATCTCTACCATCTCGTTAATAACAGACCAGGTAAGCTTAGGTCTCTACCATCTCGTTAATAACAGTCCAGGTAAGTTGAGATCTCTACCATCTCGTTAATAACAGACCAGGTAAGCTGAGATCTCTACCATCTCGTTAATAACAGACCAGGTAAGCTGAGATCTCTACCATCTCGTTAATAACAGACCAGGTAAGCTGAGATCTCTACCATTTCGTTAATAACAGACCAGGTAAGCTGAGGTCTCTACCATCTCGTTAATAACAGACCAGGTAAGCTGAGGTCTCTACCATCTCGTTAATAACAGACCAGGTAAGCTGAGATCTCTACCATCTCATTAATAACAGACCAGGTAAGCTGAGGTCTCTACCATCTCGTTAATAACAGACCAGGTAAGCTGAGATCTCTACTAGTGATTGGAACCTTTGTTTCACTTACGAATAGAAAAGAACATTGTATTTAAAGGATCATGGGCTGCTTACAGCTAATGCATGTGAGAGAAATGCATTTACAGGTAACGTGTAACAACTTATATAAGATCAATTAAATTATTTATACTATAACCAACAATTTAACGAGGATAAGTTATTATTGCTATTATCTGAATTTTATAATTGCCCCTAATACTAAAGATATTAAAAATATACTAGAAACAGTTTACCATCATTTGGGTTTCCATAGTCCGGATCAAAAGTTTGTTAGGCGTATCGAGGTCTCCAGAGAGCAGTAACCTTTCCTGCAACCCATAACAGTTGCCTAAATCACAAGAATCTATCTACTGCTAGGAATAAAGAGGCATCAGGCTTATGGAAGCGTGCAGAAACGTCTCGCATTGGCCGGAATCTGACTTGGGGTCCAGTAGCCTGCAAACCGACTGAGCTACCTTTAAACAAGTAGTTGTACGATGCAGAATAGATTTTGCTTTGTAACCTGGGGGCCAGATTCACGAAACAATTACGCAAGCACTTACGAACCTGTACATCTTTTCTCAGTCTTTGGCGGCTTTGTTTATAATTATTAAACAGTTAATGAGTTTCGAAGCACCAGGAGGCTGTTTATAACAATAACAACAGTTGATTGGGAAGTTTTCATGCTTGTAAACTGTTTAATAAATGTAATAAAAGCCGTCAAAGATTGGGGAAAGATGTACAGGTTCGTAAGTACTTGCGTAACTACTTCGTGAATCTGGCCCCTGTACTATATGTTCTATTTTTGAACGGAAAACGACGATTCTCTCTTTCAGACGAACGAGTGTTCAACGAAGCGAGGAAGTGGGTGATAGCAACGTACCAGGCTGTCGTTTTCTATGACTGGCTCCCCAAATACATGAGGGAGCCTCTTGACCGGTATCCAGGTAAGTATCTATTTGTTTTACCTGAATTTATCTAAAGATCACTATCTCTCTAATAGCCTCGACGGGGACAGGAGGACATCGGCTTTTCGAATATCCCCCCCCTCACCCTATTATTCCTGAGGATTTTTTCCCTACTGGATGTAAATCAGAAGTAATGTTTTGTTATTTAGGGCTTCGACTGGTAGGCGGTTCCATAGGTTTATAACACTAATGGCACTCGCCTATTTGTTCCAATCTATTTGAGTTTTCAGGGTCAAATTTCTGCTCATGATCATCGCTTTTTCAGTGTTGATCGTATGTTGAAATGACTCCCGTCCTTCCCAGGTTATGTTATATCTGCTTTTAGAACTTTGAACGGAGTTTCAGTTATCTTAATCTTGAATATCACGTCCTTTTAACATTCTCTAACAGTTCTTTCCTCTTTAGTGAACATCTGTATCTTCTCCAGCTTTTCTCTACGTATTTCTATACAAAGTCTCTGGCCATGGGGCCGCTTGCAGTATCCGGAACACCTTTCTCTCCAGGGGGCCAGATTCACGAAGCAGTTACACAAGCACTTACGAATCTGTACATCTTTCCTCAATCTTTGACGGCCTTGGTTGCTTTTATTAAACAGTTTACATGCATGAAAACTTGCCAATCAACTGTTGTTATTGTTATAAACAGCCTCCTGGTGCTTCCGAGCTCATTAACTGTTTAATAATTGTAATCAAAGCCGTCAAAGATTGAGAAAAGATGTACAGGTTCGTAAGAGCTTGCGTAACTGCTTCGTGAATCTAGCCCCAGACTGATAAAGGTTATTCTAGTGTTTGCAGAAATTATCCTACTTACTTGCTTCTCTAGTGAAAGCTTAGGTGTTATATTATCTCTTAAGTTCCTTTTCTGTGTCGTCACTTGGAGCTACTTATGTTGCATTGATCTTCTCGTCAACCTGCTTAGATTTGTTAGCCTGGTCGAGGACCGGGCCGCGGGGACGCTAAACCCCGAAATCATCTCAAGATACCCCTCAAGATAGGTCTCAAGATGATAACATTTGAGGGAGTTAAACAGGAGTAACCATTTTTCAGACCAAATCTGCATTTTGTCAAGGTCCTCTTGTATGAATTCCCTTACTTGTTATCACCATAACTTTACCAATATAACCAATTTATCTCGTTATATTGTAACACGAGAAACCCTTCCATGCAACGCAACGTAACCCCTGGGAGGACAGAAATAGCCAAAGCTACTCTATCCCTTTGAGATGCATACTTTTATCTTCTCTCAATAAACATACTTGAACGTAACTCTTCCACAGGTTACAAGCCAACGACGGACCCTCAAGTAAGCCATGTCTTCCAGTCGGCGGCCATGAGGTTCGGGCACACCTTGGTGACCTCTGGAGTTCACCTGAGGAAGCGGAGTGACGATGACTGTACCACTGAAGGCTACACGCTGGTTCCCGGTCAAGGGCACCACGGAGGAGTCAGGACTTGTAACTCCTTCTGGCGGTCTCCGGTATGTACGTGGGTTCAGGAGAGGGAAGTGGCTTGGTTAGTGGGAGGGAAGTGGCTTGGTTAGTGGGAGGGAAGTGGTGGGAGGGAAGTGTCTTGGAGAAAATGTTGAAAACCTTATTCATAGATGAAATGAAAGTCCGTTCTTATCTGAACAATATTCACTTTGTCATCACACGGTTATGAATCTCAATCTCTTAATGACACAAGCAAAAAATATGCATAAAATATTTGGCCTCACATACATTATTAAATATTAATTAGTTCAAAAAGTTACAATGACAAAACATCACTTACATCATTTGTATTTTGTACCCTTTTGGCTAATAAAAGAAAGAGAACACTAAAGTGGATTTTTTGTCAAATTTCCACAGGAAATCTTCACCCAGGACAAGGGAAACTTTGAAAATTTTCTGATGGGATTGAGCAGCCAGAGCACTGAGAGAGAGGACAATATCATTGTTGAAGACCTACGGGGTAGGTGGTACACCACACTGGTGCCTCTGGGGGAGAGAGATGGGGGTGGAGGTGGTGGGGTTTACGGTACAATCGGAATCCCATGTAAACGGTGGTACCTGGGTGCTGGTGTACCTGTGGGATGATGATAGTTTTTCTGGACGGTACTAATGTACTTGACGATACTGATATACAAGGACGATACCACTGTAACAGGACGATACTAATATATCTAGACGAAATAATAAACTTGGACGATAGTAGGATACCTGACGATACCAATATACTTGGACGACACTGGTATACATGTGTATTAACAAAGATGCATCTATTTTCCCTTCATAAATGTATAGAAAATGCAACTTTTTTGAGAGTCAATACGTGGAATTAAACACTTCCGTGTGAGACTAAAATGTATATGATTACAGTTGCTAGGTTGAACTCACGGTGAAAATAACCTGAACTACATTTTCGTTTGACAGTGAACTTTATTGTTACACCCAATAAAATATTGAATTTATATTTATTTCATTATTGAACGTAATTAACGAAGAAGGAGTAGCATCTTTGCAACAGTTTGCAAGGTATTTACATTATGTGCCGTATATTAGACTTTGCAAAGTAACCTTTTTTTCAACCCCCTCAGAACTAAAGTAACCTCAAAGTGTATACGCATTGAGGAATATAATTCCCTTCAAAGCATGTCTATTTATATGTACATGTATATGCATATGTATGTATAAGCTATCCCTCCTCACCCTCATTTTTCGTTCAATCACTATGAATGCTCTGGGATGCTTGTAGGTCGGGTGTTCGGGCCCCTGGAATTCTCGCGGCGGGACCTGATGGCAGTCAACATCCAGAGGGCTCGCGACCATGGTCTCCCAGATTACAATACCGCCAGGAAGCACTTTGGTTTCGAGACACTCAATTCACTTAATGTGGATGAGTTCAAACAGAAAACGTCAACTCATGTTCCAGATGAAGTAAGAATTGTTTCTGTATGGTTAATGTAATACTTATTTTTCCAATAAATAATTTTTGTTTCTCTTTTACGATGTAAGGACTTGTTCATAATTTGATAAAAAAATAATATATATTAATCATTAATATAAATGGAAATGTCTGTCTGTTCGAGGTTGGAGGCCAGAAGCTTGGGGCTAGGTTTACTTTTTTTTTCCCGGTAATTACTGTTGGGTATGTACCCATCATGGGCGGAACGGGAATAGCATACAATAAAAAAGTACCATGTGACACTGCCAAACTGATCCCCACAAAAAAATCGAGCAATATAATAATTCCTCGACTCTGAATTATCAGCATTATTATTGTCTTTTCACCAGAGTGAAACTTCGTCTAATATTCATCTACTATTAAAGTCAGCTTATATCTTGATGTTTCTCAACAATGTTAACACCTTGCGCTATTAACCTATCTGTCTTTCTCTCTCTCTCTCTCGCTCTCTCTCTCTCTCTCTCTCTCTGTCTCTCTCTCTCTCTCTCTCTCTCTCTCTCTCTCTCTCTCTCTCTCTCTCTCTCTCTCTCTCTCTCTCTCTCTCTCTCTTTCTCTCTCTCTCTCTCTCTCTCTCTCTCTCTCTCTCTCTCTCTCTCTCTCTCTCTCTCTCTCTCTCTCTCTCTCTCTCTCTCTCTCTCTCTCTCTCTCTCTCTCTCTCTCTCTCTCTCTCTCTCTCTACATTTTTTTCGTAATACATAACTCTGAGAAAATATTTTGTATATTAATTGATTTTTTAGTTAAAAGGGATGAAGGCAACATTAGAAGTTCCAAAACATTTTATTTAGCTTTTATATAATAATTGGATGGTTATTCATAATTAACAAAACACGCACACAGACGGTCAGGCACACACATACAGATACACACACAGGCACACACATACAGATACACACACAGGCACACAAACGCACGCAGGCACACACAGGTATTGGGAGCAGGAGGCCAAACACATAGTACAAGCTGGGAGAGGAAATCCCTTAGAAGTCAGTACGTGAGAAAGATCTGGTGGTTGATATCACACAGGATCTGTCCCCTGAAGCCCAAATCAAGAGGATAACATCAGCGGCGTATGCAAGGCTGGCGAACATTAGAACAGCCTTCAGAAACTTGCGTCAGGTATCATTCAGAACGTTGTAGACCTCCTATGTCACACCATTACTGGAGTATGCGGCTCCAGCGTGGAGTCCACATCTAGTCAAACACAAAACGAAGAAAGAAAAGGTTCAGAGGTATGACACCAAGCTAGTCCCCGAGCTGAGAGGAATGAGCTATGATGAAAAAATATTGGAACTGAACCTCACGACACTGGAAGACAGAAGAATTAGGGGAGACATGATCATTCCTTTCAAAATTCTCAGAGGAATTGACAGTGTATGTTAAAGTGTATAGAGCTCTGATACTCAACTTCATCAGACGCATGCTAGGTTCTTACCTACATTTTCACAACCAATGCAACAAGCCACATCTTCATCAAACTCTCCATAGACATAAATGGAGCATCATTTTAATGTTAAACTCTTGCTTTGCAGGTAATTGAAAGACTCGCAGAAGTTTACGACAACGATCCGAACAAGGTAGATATTTGGGCAGGAGGGCTGCTTGAGACGAGGAATGGTCCAGGACAGCTGTTTTCAAGGTAATCTCTTGAAGTGTGTGTGTGTGTGTGTGTGTGTGTGTGTGTGTGTGTGTGTGTGTGTGTGTGTGTGTGTGTGTGTGTGTGTGTGTGTGTGTGTGTTTGCATGTCTAGATGTGATTGATATGATATTGATAGATGTGTGTTAACATGCTATTTCAACGGAAACATCAGCTTTATTCCTAATAGACTATAATTTTAGCTGTTTAAAGTAAGGAGAGAGAGAGAGAGAGAGAGAAAGAGAGAGAGAGAGAGAGAGAGAGAGAGAGAGAGAGAGAGAGAGAGAGAGAGAGAGAGAGAGAGAGAGAGAGAGAGAGAGAGAGAGAGAGAGAGAGAGAGAAAGTCTTTGTTGTTTTCCATGTATTTTAATGTACGTATTCATCATTCCCTTAGAGTGATCTTGGACCAGTTTCGCCGTATACGGGAGGGTGATCGCTTCTGGTTTGAGAACCTCAACAATAAGTCAGTATCCATTACATATTCACATTTTCGGAGTTCACTTCTGCTTTGAATTAGTTCCATATTAATGAAATAACTTTATTCTCTGCCTTCGATATTGTATTAAGTTAATACTCATATATGTAATCAATTATGTAATTTTTATGCATATAATTATATATTTACATATTTTCCTTTCTTATGCAATAATGTTTATTGTTTGTCGTTTCATATCTGTATTTTCTCTTTTCATTTCAATCAATTACAAAATGAAAGTGTTCAATTTATTAAAGTATCGAATATCCCCTAACTACTCAACTGCCTGCAGCTTGTTCACGGACGAGGAGAGGAAGCGTATAAAACAGGTGAACGTGATTGATGTGTTGTTGTCCGTGACGAACCTGGTGTCAGGGAAGGACATTCAGTTAGACCCGTTCACAGCTGTCCACCTCCCTGATAACAGTAAGTAGCACTCGTGGCACTCTAAAAGGTTTGTGGTGCGTGTCGCAGCTCCCCAGCCTCCAGCCTTAGTGAATAGTCTCTGTCTCTTTGTCTCTCTCTCTCTCTCTCTCTCTCTCTCTCTCTCTCTCTCTCTCTCTCTCTCTCTCTCTCTCTCTCTCTCTCTCTCTCTCTCTCTCTCGAATAAGGTCGCGGAGAGGTTAGATTGTGGTTCAGAGTCCTGCAATATTTTAGGCTTTAGGAGATGTGAGTAAGTCAGATGGACGTTGTTGCAATGTTGTATGCAGATGTTAAGGTTTGGTGGTTGTAATGGTTTAGGTCTAGGAGATGATAGGTTATATTTTTGCAATATTTTAGGCCTACGAGATGTTAAGTTTGGTAGTTGCAATTTTTTTTATTATTCTTTAGTATTCCAGTTGTACAAAATGTGGAGTTTTGTGAAGTTTTGCAGTGTCTGTTTTAGACATATTGCCTCAATCCTTTACAAACTAGTTGTTTATCCTACAAAGAGGAGTTCTTTATCCTACACAGAGTAGTTTCTCTTGTTCACAAAGTAGTTTTCAATTGCAGGCGATGAGTCACAATAACGTGGCTGAAGTATGTTGATTAGACCACACACTAGAAGGAAGAAAGGACGACGATGTTTCGGTCCGTCCTGGATAATTCTCAAGTCGATTGTGAGAATGACACAATCGACTTGAGAATGGTCCAGGACGGACCGAAACGTCGTCGTCTCTTCACCTTCTAATGTGTGGTCTGGTCAACATAGTTTTCAATTATACACAAAGCAGTTTTCTATCTTTTGTTACTATATCCTCTATCCTATTCTATCCTCTATTATCTTAAAAAATAAGTAGTTCTCTTCCTCCACAAAATGTTCACCGCATCACTTAACGACTTATATAAACCCACGTTTCCCCAGCTGTGAGCGGAGAGTGCTTAAACGTGCTCAGTGTACAGCAGCCTTGCCAGTTACTTCCCCGCAACACCACCTGTCGGTACTTGCCACAGGTTTCCAATGACAACACGGAGGCGTGTACCCCGCCTGGGACCTACGATTACTTCAGTGGATCTGAGGCCTCGTACGTTCTGTCCTTCACGCTGGTGTTGGCTGCCTGTGTGGGTGAGTATATTTGGCTTGTGGTGGACATTACGGGCCCACGGGAGACATCTCCTGTCCCACAGGGTGCAGTCGCACCTCCACAGATCTCCAGAATCATCTATTGATACTGGTAATGGCTCAAAAGGGCCACCACTTACGGGCTATTCATGCCCGTGCCACCTCTTGGGTGGCTTAATCCTTATCATCATCATCAGGACGAAGCTTCAGACAATCTTAACACTTGGTCTGATAGACTGGTTTTGTTTTTTAAATGGTTTTGGTTTCTAATGTTTTTTTAAGATGCATGTAAGGTGATGGAAATAACCACAGGTTATGGGAGAACAGCTTGGATGGTTCACAATGAAAAATAAGTGCTACCTTGAAACGACTATAAATAACATAATATAAATAACAAAACCATGACTTAGAACAGAAATGCATAAAAATGGGATAGCATTATTAGCATATTATAAACATGCAAACATTAGAACAACATTCAGGAACCTGATTTTTTAGGCATTCAGATCAAATCACTACCTATGTGAGACCAATCCATGGGCATGCAGCCCTAATTTGGAGCCCTAACTTTAAAATACATATTAAGGAAACTTCAAAAGGGTACAGAGGCTTACCACGACGTTCGATCGAGAATCATGTTGAATTCAGTACGAAGAAAGAATGATAAAGCTTGACTTGTCGTCGCTAGGAGAGAGAGAGAGAGAGAGAGAGAGAGAGAGAGAGAGAGAGAGAGAGAGAGAGAGAGAGAGAGAGAGAGAGAGAGAGAGAGAGAGAGAGAGAGAGAGAGAGAGAGAGAGAGACATAATTTACTTTGGAGAGTAATAGGGTATAAAATTAAGAAATGTTCACAATGCATACTAATAGTACAAGCGGGCATAGTTGGAAGCTTGAAACATAGATGAGCCATAGAGATATGAAGGGAAGGGGAACTATCAGGGGGAAAGCGCGAAGCCATTACGACTATATAGCACTTGGAAGAGGTTAGGATAAGGATTTTGAATTGGATGTGGGAAAGGAATGGTACCCAACCACTTGGATGGTCGGGGATTGAACGCCGACCTGCATGAAGCGAGACTGGTACTCTACCGTGCAGCCCAAGTGGTTGGGTTTCATAGAGATTTGAGAAGAGATTAGTTTAGCATTAAATGAGTAAAAAGTGGAAAGAGTTGATCAGGACTTTTCGCTCGTATGCGCGCTATGGCCAAAAATGGACGTAAATTGAAATAAAATCGGCTCACGAAAGTGACATACTGTTTTCTGTTTGAGTCCTCCGGCTTACTTGGTTAGGTTAGGAGAGGAAACTTTCAATTAACGTTTTTCATGATGTTTTAAAAACCTTAGGAGAACTTCCTACCCTCCTAACCTACCAGAGGATCCTTAACTTGCTGTTTTGAAAAAAAATATGTCCATAATTTATTTTCAATTATTTTTAGTTTTTATATTACGTCCATTTTCGGCCATACGGGAAAACGGCCAAATTCAGACGTAATTTGTAAGAGGAAAGGTTAGTGCCAGTTCTACTCGTATTCTAAATCGTAGATCATATAACAAGTAGATTCATATAACAGATTCATAAAAGTAAGGAAGCATTGCCTAACTAGTAGCTCGAAAAGCGAGGGTTCCAAGAGCTGGAGCTCGAGCAAACAGCCACAAATAGGCGAGAAAACACTCGCACGAAGTTAACAAAGATCTCTCCTCTCTGCGAGACTCTTATCTACGCTCGAACGAGAGACAACACAACAGCCCAAGTTCTCTTATCTCTCAACAATACTTGCGTCTGGTAAACTTGCAGGTTCCTCTGTTCCAGTCTGTTTGTTGCATGCATTAGATAAATCACAGTCGGAGATCCCGGGTTCGATTCTCGGGAGGGAAAGAGGGGATGGGGAGGACAGAAATGGTTGGGCAACGTTTCCTTTCACTAATGTTTCTGTTCATCTAGTGGTAAATAGTAAGTGGCCCTGTAGTAGCGGTAAATTGCCCTGGATTTAGTCACCAGTTTTGGGAATGCATCCTTGGGAAAGGTCAGTAGTTCGCCCTAAGCGGATCTCCATACACGCCTAAAGAAAATATATACATACACAGGCTTTCTGTCCCCCGACAACGGGAATTATCCCCAGCAACTTCTGTCTCCCCGACAACGGGAATTATCCCCAGCAACTTCTGTCTCCCCGACAACGGGAATTATCCCCAGCAACAGAAGGTGTTTACATCGCCACACGGGATTGTGATCCTCCTAAGCTGATTGTTGCCATCCACAGCGCTGCTCATCCTGGTGATAGTAAAGGACCAGACTAAAGTCAAGGAGGAGACGAGGAGAGTGTTCAGCACCATTGCTGTGACAGGCAACGTCCACAAGGCTAAAGGTATTGTAAAACAGATAGATATATAGATAGATAGATAAATAGATAGATAATCAGACTGAGAAAATGATGTCAACACCGAGTGTACACAGATTAACTTAGATTAGTTTAGGTTTGGTTTTTAAGGCTATAGATTTCCAGATTTATTAGGTTCTGAAAGTATTCTGTAATCCCAGGCAGCGTGCAATATAGAAGTAAACTCTCGGAATAAATTCACTGAAAAACACATCTGCCTATACCACATACCCTACGGGGGTATACCCATTAATGTTCCACTATTCCATACCCGCCACAGAGAGAGTGGCGTCGATGGAGAGTCGCTACGTGAAGGTGGTCCTGGCCCCTACCTCAAGACACATCAAGGTTCAGGGCATGAGGGACCAGCTCCTCAGGACCATTGACCTGAGAAATGTTCATGATCTGCTCGTTAGGCATCTCCAGGACTACACCCAGATTGTGGTCACGGTGTCGCATCATTACGACCTGGTGAGTATAGGATGTCCTGTTGAGAGTGTAATGTCCAATTCAGAGAGGGTATGGAGGCCCGTATTGAGAGATCTGTAGACTATTGGGAGTTGTGGCCTATTGACAGCGAGTGATAAGTGCTTTGTAGGGTGAGTGTGGTGTCCTATGAAGGGCGAGCGTTGCGACCTCTTCATGGAGAGTCAGATTGCCGCGTCTTTGTAGGTAAACTGAATTCCTCTTCATGGTGATCTGTTGATGGTAAATGTAATGACCTTTTGACGGTGAGCATTAATGGCTTCTTGATTGTAACTGTTGTGGCGTATTGATGATTAACTCAACAGCCAGACTGGTTTATCCAATAGTGCTATTTCGCCTTCAGAACACCATCAGAAGGTAACCTTTACACAGAAATCGAATCGTTCACTTACGTTTGTCTCTCGAATATCTCATTATCATTCCTCGTTCTTCTAGATTTCAATATGTATATATCTCTCTCTCTTTTCAGTTCTTGAAGTTTGAAGACGGCTTCCATGGCGAAAGACTGTACCAGGACCTAGATAAGTTTTGTCAGGAAATTAGTGTGACGCTCAATTCCAAGCCGGAGACGAAGTCATCCATCTTGCGAGGAATTATGACAGTTTACCAGAGGGAGAAGCAGCTAGCTGAATTCTCCATGGTGGTGATGAAAAATGTAAGAGTTATGTGCACTGACAGATCTTTATCCCTCCGTGTGCATGTGATATAGGCTCACCAGTGTCTTCTGTGAGCTCGAACATTGCGGCGAGCGTTACTTGGTTGTCCAGGTCAGCGTCAACGCTATCTATTATATCCTACCAGATGGTAAAGGCAGACTAAGCTTTGAACATCAAAATGCATCACTATGGAAGGTTAACGCGGCGACATCTCGGTCTTTCTTGGATTATGATAACGGGCCAACAAGGACCGGTACATCGTGTTCTGTCCTACTCGAATATGTGTATATATAAATATATAGCGTGTGTATAGTGTGTGTGTATATGTAGCGTGTGTATAGTGTGTGTATAGTGTGGTGACTGTGTGGCTGCAGTGTTCTTATGCCAACTTCGATGTTGTGACCTAAATTCATTAAGTTAGTCTGCGTGCTCACTTTAAAATGTGGAGTTCGAGTCACGAATTTCCAAAAATATACTCTCAAATCCACCCCTCCTTGCACGCACAACCCACCCAGCACACACACACACACACACACACACACACACACACACACACACACACACACACACACACACACACACACACACACACACAGTATGTGAAATATATGTAGTAGGCATAATAGAGGAAAAAATAAATTGATTAGAAAGCCGGCATCCAAGAGTTAATAGCTCGATTCTGCAGATACAAATAGTAAATACAAACACATACGTACACATACACGGACGATCTCGGACATAGGTTCGAATCCTCGTCACGGCCCTTGTGGATTTGTTCACGTATACATACACATTTGTCTTTCCCAACCATCAGCATCAATTATAAAGACAGACCACAGCTGGATTATATTAACACAGCACAAATGGCAAAAAAAGATTGAATTTAGTATGCAAAACACTCAGCTGATGACCAAGTCCATTAAAATTATTAATAAACCAGAATGCAATGACCGCTGCTAAATACCTCTTGACGCAATTCACTGTTTCCATCCTCTCATTTTTTCTCGTTGAATTAATGATTATTATTTTTTACTGGCTTATTTACAAATAAATTACTAAATTAAACAAATATTAATATATGTTAAAAAACTGAAATGATTAAAGAACTAAAATTCCGACAAAAATCATTTACCAAAATAAAAAAATATTGATAAAAATATTTTACTGAAAAGAAAATAGTAATGACCATATATAAGGGAGGAGTGAGAAAGGGTGAAGGGATGGATATAGGTGATAACGGATGGATGAAAACTCTAATATACAATATCACTAATTTATATATATGAGAATGAACCTATTTTTATTGCTGCACTATTGGTTATTTTTAATGAATGCGTCATAAGGGGGAGAGGGAGGAGGGAAAATGGCCGCCGCTTTAACGAGCCTGGCCCGAGGACAGATTGGTTTGCGGTAATGTCGGTGTTTACATTAAAATAGATTGACGGCAAACGGTTGCTAGATTAACGAGAATTTAGCTAATGTTTTGAGGATCGCTGTATAATGATCTACTACATGACTTAATCGAATTAAAATCCAAATGTTTTTGTTTAATGCCACTGGTAACGCAGATCTTTCAGCTCATTGCGATGAATTGAATTTATTCAATTGCATTGCAATTCATTGAAGAATGAATTACATTCATTCTTCCAATCAAATTTCCAAATTATCATTCACTGAACTGCCGCTTATATATTCCTTAAATTCATAATATACAATATGCTTAATATCTCACAGCATATGATATTCATTTATTAAGATGAAATATAATAATGTAAACATCTAGTCATTACAATTGACGTCACTAGGGTCTGTCACCCTGAAACAAAGTGATTTGAAGGCTTATTAAAATCCACATTTTAATAAGTTCACGTTAATCTGCAAAGCTATCCTATTTATTTAACCTATTGTCCTATTCAGACATAGGATTCTCCGACTAAAAGTCTATTCAAATAGTGCAATTCTCCACGGACTGATATCGTACACACTCTGTTAATTAACGCACCATCAACCTAATTTTATAACCCAACAGCTTAGAAAGTCAGTTTGGAGCTTCTGTGGAACATTCAATAAACGCAAAGTTGAGCGGCCAAGCGTAGAACGGTATTCGGGTTTTTATCCCCCCCTGTCTATTCAACAGGCGTTTGGAGACAGAAAGAAGGCAAAGGCGACGGAGAACCTGCTGTCATTGACCTCGGGCAAGATGTCCGATTACCTGACCATGGAGATTACTCAGCACGAGTTGGCCAACCAGCTGGGGATGCTGCCAGACTCAATCTTCGTCACTCAGGTGAGGCGTAAGATAAGCCGTGAGTATTGTTTCATTCTCTCATCTTCTGAAGGTGAGGGAAGCTGTGATATGAGAAGGCTTTATTGTATCTCTATTCTTTTCACCTCCCACAGGTAGGGCAAGCTGTTGCATAAGTAGGCTTACTGTTCCACCATGCTTTGAACTTTCCACAGGTGAAGGAAGTTGTGGCATGAATAGGCCTATTGTTCTTTCCTCATTCTCATTTCCCACAGATGTAATTTGTGAAGCAAATTTACCTGGTGTTTCTCCATCCCTTTCCTGTCCAGAGATTGTTTCTGGCTAATTATTTCAAATGTTGTTTGTTTTTTTGTTCATTTCTCAGGTATTTTCTTTATTCTATATCTTACAGCTGCTTTCTTGTTTACTTCTAAAAGCTGTCTGATTTGTTTATCCGAAGCAGCTGTTTTCTTGTTTACCCACCAGATATTATTTCCTGTTTACCACTTACTGGTCTCCGTTTTGTTTGGCTCTCGCAGCTGTTTCGTCTGATGGACACGGACCAGAGCGGATTCATCACCATCAAAGAGTTTTGGGATGTTATGGTGGTGTTCGCACAGGGCAAACCCGAGGAGAAGGCCTGGCTTATTTTCAGCATCTATGACATCTCCAACAATGGCTACATCTCCGCTGACGACCTGATGAGCATCGTAAAGTAATGAGGGAGTGGGAGAGAGAGAGAGAGAGAGAGAGAGAGAGAGAGAGAGAGAGAGAGTGAGAGTGAGAGAGATACAGAGTGCGTGTGTGTGTGCATTAGTCAAAGCCACAGTCATAGTCCGGTGAAAATTTAACAAGTATCAATAAAACTGCAGCTCACAGCATTACTGACAAAATTAATAACTTATAAATAAATATGGTATAACACTGAATTGAATGACAATGAGAGTGGACCATATATACCTGTTGGAAATCATTGTTGTACATTCAGTCAATATTCCCAATAATGTTTCTTTTGAAGCAAACTTCCTGTACAAGCCATTCACCTGGTCTATATGGACCTCGCACCGTGGACCCGACACGTGTGAGGCCAACACTCTATCGGCCCTTTTATTTTCCTGTAGATGAATAATTATTTTGATTGTTCCATTTTGAAAATAAATCTCTAATTTATTGTTGAAGTTAAATTTGTGTTCTGCACAGCTATCTGAATAAGAAACCCCAAAATGCAATACTAAAGAAAGCTTCCAACCTTCCAGATCAACACTTGGGAGCGAGGGCAAGAACAGAGATCTGGACCAAGTGGTCAAGACCATGCTGGAGTCGGTGGGTCTCCAGAACGGCCAATTCATCGACTTCGAGCAGTTCCAGCGGATCTTTGACCTTCAGGGAGACATCTTTAAAAACGTAAACATCGACATGCAGGAGCAATCCGGCGGGAACAAGGATTCGAGGTTTAGTCTTTACGGAAGCATCCCCGTCGGAGGCTTCGTTGCCGAGGCCGCTAGGAAGGAATACGAAGAGGCGAGGAAGGAGGTCCTGGCTGAAGAGGAGGATCGCGAACCTCCAGTTCTGAGCACTCTACACCAGTACTACAAGCAGTTGGTCAATAAGTTCAAAGTGAACATCGTTTATATCTACTGGAAAGCCCTCTATACTTTAGTTATGCTGATGATCTTCGTCGAGAGGGCCTACTATTATTCGTGAGTGTTGTATTTACGCTCCTACATGTATTCGTGGCGATGTTTGTTGGCATATTTACGCTTCTTTAAGTATTAATGGCAACGTTTGTTGGCACATTTACGCTTCTTTAAGTATTAATGGCAACGTTTGTTGACACATTTATGCTTCTTCAAGTATTGATGGCAACGCTTGTTGACACATTTATGCTTCTTCAAGTATTGATAGCAATATTTGTTAGTTTGGTAATGGGCTTAAGACCTACCAACATCGTTAGGATATTTCAGGCCAGCAGAAGAGCTTACTGACCATCCAGCACGTATGGTTTCAGTGTATATATACACAAGGAAGTGGAGTGACCCTCTCTATGTATATACACCTGTGTATCTGTTTTATTATGGCTTGCCACCTGTGTTTACTATGTTAATTCAGATATAAACTGCATTGTGTTTTTATGTGAAATAAGATTACACAAATAAATGTTGTATTTGATGACCACAGAACACTTTGGTTCACAATTTTTGATTGGCGAGTGTAAAATAAACATTTCCTTACGCTAATAGAAAGAATAATACAACACACACACATACACACACTCTGTTCCCAGTTCCCTTTAACAAACTATACACCGTCGGTAGCGACCACCTCCCCCTTCCACCTACCACCACTCCCAGACGCCCACCTAATGCTCTCCTCCGTACATGTGTGGGTCTCAGTGTTGAACGAGAGCACGCTGGCCTCCGTCGCATCGCTGGCTACGGCGTCACCATCACCAGGGGAGCCGCCTCGGCTATGATGTTCACCTACTCCACACTCCTCATCACCATGTGCCGCAACCTTTTCTCTGTCCTCAGGTGAGCGTTCGTGTCCATCTTTATCCCTTCAGGTGTGCTCTTGAGGTAAGATCTGAGACCCTCCAGTTGTACTGGTCGGTAGGGCGACGGTCTCGCATCTTGCAGGGGTCAGAGGTCGATCCCCCAATGTGCCAAGTGGTTCGGATTTCTCCCGATAATTATTTTACCTTGAGGAAGATCTCATCAAGGCCTTACGGGTGTATAGAGGGTCTAGGTGCACAGTTGGAGTCCTTCTCGACTCACAATCAGGTATCCAGGGTTCGAATTAGGTACCAAAGAGTTTGTTATCTGGAGTGTACTTCCTTGGGAGGGTCAGTAGTTCAATCATTGGGGGGGGGGAGACCTTGATATAAGCCTAACATGCATAGATACACTGGCTACCTGTCCCACGACAAAACGAATTACCTAAAATAATAATAGGAGTGTGTTCTTTTTTCTGCATCGCAGAGAAAGGTAATTAAATTTTGTGACGTGGATGATATAAAAACTAATGATATAATATGTGAGTTTTTTCACCTTGATCTTGATTGTTGTATGTTAATTCACACCATCTAAATTATGATTCACTTTGTCTTGGAGAGTGAGAAAGAAAGAGAGAGAGAGAGAGAGAGAGAGAGAGAGAGAGAGAGAGAGAGAGAGAGAGAGAGAGAGAGAGAGAGAGAGAGAGAGAGAGAGAGAGAGAGAGAGAGAATCATGAGAATAAGATGCTGTTGAAGGTATAAATTCGGATCAAGCCACAGATGGGAGTTCAATCCCATTTAGTAGCCTCGGCATTTTCACATAGAAATATCAATTGTTTATAATTTCATCATGAGCACATTTTAAGCTTTTTCTGACTTACTAGAAGGCGTAGAGTTTTTCCTTTCACACGTCTCATTTTAAGCCTTACCTCTGCAAGTTTACTATGGAACATGACAAGCAGATTGATTTATAACCAGGTCTCAATTATTGCCGGGTCAACAAGGGGCCAACAGGTAAAAATTTATTGCCCAGTCAATCTTCCCTGCCTAGGAAATGAAACTAGCAGAGGAAATTCGCCAAGCCATACCGACTATATAACACTTGGAAGGGGTCAGGATAAGGATTTAGGATGGGACGCAGAAACCCTGCCTAGGGAATGGGAACGAACCCAGCCAAAATCGCTCCCCAGACGTGAGGAGAGCGTGTTGCTACTGAGCCACGAGGACCCATGTGTGATCTAGGGTATCAATAAATCTCTTCCCTACCTCAGCCATACGTTTAATTGTGCACCAGTCGCAGAGTCACTTTATCTAATGGTCTCTCTCTCGTCTCCCCTCTGTACGGAAAACATGAACCCAGCCATTAGTTGTAGTCTGTCACACTCACAGCCTCCGAAATACTGTGAGTCCATAATACTGTGAGTCCATATTACTGTGAGTCCATAATACTGTGACTCCATTATATTGTGAGTCCATGATACTGTGAGTCCATGATACTGTGAGTCCATGATACTGTGAGTCCATAATTACTGTTAGTCCATGATACTGTGAGTCCATGATACTGTGAGTCCATGATACTGTGAGTCCATGATACTGTGAGTCCATAATACTATGAGTCCATAATACTGTGAGTCCATAATACTGTGTGTGAGTTCGTAATAAAGTGCGAGTCCATATTAGTAAAGATTTAAAACGTTAACTACGATGCTTAATACTCTTTCATGGAGGCTTTTCCGTTTGTAATTTAAATAAATGTATTGATTTCTATCCTCTTCCCCCCCTCTCATCTCTCTCTCCCGCTCACTGTCTCTGCCTCTCTCTCTCTTTTTCTATATTCTCTCTCTCCTCCCAAAAGATCCACCGCTCTCCACCGCCTCTTCCCCTTCGACTATATGATCGACTTCCACCGCTACATCGGGGAATGGGCGCTCATTTGGACGGTGGTACACGTCATTGGCCACGCTATCAATTTCTACCATATCTCCACCCAGACGCCCTCCGACCTCACCTGTCTCTTCAGGGATTATTTTAGGAGGTGAGTGTTGTTGAGGGGAGTTTTCCTACTTTCTTTTGGCTTGAGTTTCTTATGTTGCTTAAGCTTAAGTTTCTCTGCTCGAGGAGCATTTAAGAATGCTCCTCGAGGTAGGTGGGGTCCAAGCATGCGTCTTCGACCCAACCCCTAAGGTTTTTATTCCTTAGAATTGGTATAAATTTCATTTATTTAATTTTAGATTAAGTTAAATTGCGGGATATTGTTAATTTTTCTGATTATCTGTTGTATTTGTGTGTTGGCCGGATCCTAGTATGGCCATAGCCACTCTGTGGACGTTTTTGATAAATAGTCACGAGTTTACTGTGTGAAATTTTACGGTTGACAATGTTTTGTTAGACCAGGACATGTGGTATTAAACCCTCCCTACAAGTAGTATTAAACCCCCTACACGTAGTATTAAACCCTACACGTAGTAATAAACCCCTACACGTAGTATTAGACCCCCAACACGTAGTATTAAACCCCCTAGACGTAGTATTAAACCCCCTACTCGCAGTATTAACATCCCCTTCACGTAGTATTACCCCCCCTATACGTAGTATTACCCCCCTACACGTAGTATTACCCCCTACACGTAGTATTAAACCCCCCTACACGTAATACACAGCCCCTTACCTCAACAGAACGCACGTGCTGCCCAAGTTTCACTACTGGTGTTGGGAGACGATCACGGGTCTGACGGGTGTGTTCCTCACCTTCCACACCGCCGTCATCTACATCTTCGCCCACTTCGGCAGGAAGCACTACTTCCCTTACTTCTGGCACACGCACAACTCTTACCCGCTCTTCTACTTCCTCTTCGTCCTGCATGGCTCCGGCAGGCTGGTGCAGGTCCGTTCTCTACCTGTTGACACCCCGGGTATCTTGGTATTAGAGGCACCTGATCATTCATATAAATCCATCTAAATCATCAATATTAATTGTGATGATTAGTAGTAGGAAGCTATCAGTCTCAGGAGACTTGGAGTTGCGCTCTGGTTGTCGGTCTGGAGTGGCGTCTCCAAGGCGCCAAGCCAGGGTTGGTTGATATGAGGGAGAAGCTGTTACCCATGCAGCTGGTCCTCCATCTCTCCACGGCGCCGAAAGTCTCCATTGAAAAGGCAAACGCCAATACGATTGACGTTTGATGATTATACTAGTAATATTAATACAAATATAGTTTGAAGAAAATAATAATACAAATAATTATGATTTAAAATAAGAATTATAGATAACTGAATCATTTTATAATGGTCGTAGAGAATGATTAAACGAATAAATTGATGGAGTGGTGATGATATGAAGTGTATGATGGGATGAATGGACGCGTGTGTATGGTAGGGTGAATGGACGCGTGTGTATGGTAGGTGAATGGACGCGTGTGTATGGTAGGGTGAATGGACGCGTGTGTATGGTAGGGTGAATGGACGCGTGTGTATGGTAGGGTGAATGGACGCGTGTGTATGGTAGGGTGAATGGACGCGTGTGTATGGTAGGGTGAATGGACGCGTGTGTATGGTAGGGTGAATGGACGCGTGTGTATGGTAGGGTGAATGGACGCGTGTGTATGGTAGGGTGAATGGACGCGTGTGTATGGTAGGGTGAATGGACGCGTGTGTATGGTAGTGTGAATGGACGCGTGTGTGTAAAATGGGATAAACAGACGCGGGTGTAAGGTAAGATGAACTACCGCATGTGTCACTTTGAAAACATTTAAAAATTTCCTCCACTCCTTTCCTAGGCGAGGCTTCCCAAGACCAAGAAAGTGGGTAATAAACTTCGCATAATTATACAGGAGACATACAGGAGAACACATTTCGCATTAATTAAACCATTCAAACTTTTTTTTGTTATTTTGGAGGCGACGTTGCTAAGTTATTTTTGGCCCAGAACCGAAATGAAAATTAGTTTACGTAGGTATTATCCGCAACCCCCTCCCTCCAAGTTAAATGGATGGATAAGGAAAATTAAGATAGTTGCAAGGAAAAATTCCTAAACCAATATTACTACATAGTACTTGAAATGGATGTGACGATAAAAGATGGGAATAGGAGGACGCAGCTTCACTGGGAACGGTTACTAGCCACCTGTACCGTCGGGGCTCGAGCAACGATCCGCAAGAAGTGAAGCCGTCACTGTACCGATTCATCCAAGTGAACGGATATTATAACTGGAGATATAATTTCAGCGTTTAATTTATTAATCGTGGATATATATATAAATCTATCCATACCAGATATGCGATATATGTTGCAGATAAAGGTGTCTAAAAATGTACATATCTGTAGGTGGTTGCAGATCTTAGACGCCAAATGATGATGAATTCACCAAACTCGCAAATTGGATCATGTAGTACTTGCCATTAATTTGGAACTCGTTTCCGCTCTTATCTAAACTTGTTCAACAAAGTTTAAAACATGGTCTCACATCTAGGGAGAAGGGAACTTAAAGCACCTGTCGTAGATCCAAACTTACTCTCGTCTCTGATCAGTGTGAACTTTGCAAAGTTCATTGAATTATCATTATCTTAATCTTCTCTGCAACTCCCTTCAATAAAATTATACCAGTTTCCTGCGCACGAACAGACCAATTTATCGATCATATCATCTAAAATTCGCAAAATGATGTAACTCGTTTTTGCAACCGAATTGCAGCCCAAACATAGTTACTTCAGTTATTTAAACATCATGTAAATTAATTTCCTTTAATGCAATATGGTATTCAATAAAGCATGCCAGCATTACCACATATAATTACACATAAAAGTGCATTTCTAGTTTGAATCAACAGAGTAACAAGCGACGTGTTCTAAAATATATATATATGTTTTTTATTTGTTTTATATTTAAATTTATATATATTTTTTATTTGCGTTGTCAAGATTATTTATTTACTCCCGCTTGCAGCCTCCTTTCTTCCATTTCTTTTTCCTTGGCCCGTGTGTCCTCTTCGTCTTGGACAAGCTCGTCTCCATCTCAAGAAACAAGATCAAGATAGACGTCATCAGCGCCCAACACCTGCCCTCCAGTATGTATTAGACCGATCATATTAAGCTTTAAACACCACATGAGTGATTGTGACTATCCAGGCAAATATTTGTATACAGTACTTCAAATTAGAGTTCCTACCCTCCACGTCATTGTGCCTTTCAAGTAATAAAGTTTATGCCCTTCAAGTAAATTTTTGTTTCTACATTCACATTGTATCTTCAAAGGTTTCTACTCTCTAAATAATCGCTAAAATCCCCAACATGAGCTTTCATGTGTTTTATGTTAATGTTGGTGCCCTTATTCAGATGTTTGAGGCCACGAACATGAGCTTCCTTGTAAGTGTTGAGGTTTGAACTAAGTGTTGGTATATTTTATTAAGCGTTGGTTACTTACAGTATGCGATGCTGTCCATCAGAAAGTGTTCGTACCCCTTCAGTGGGTATTACTGCCCTGTACTAATTATGTTCCAAATTAAGTGTTGGGGACACTTCCAGGACTTTTCAAATCAAATAAAAAACTTTAGCAACATAGCACGTAAACATTGTCATTATGAGAACCAGAAATTCCGTTCGTAGCAACTTATACAAATCATAACAATTCTGGCTGTACTAAACAGGTGTATAACAATATAAACCAAACTAACATTTTAGACATAAAATAAGTGACATTTCGTTTACAAGTCGGATGGTAATATATTGTGAAAACAAAGTGAAGGTTTACCCTTAGATAAGTAAGACACTTATGTGCACAATTTATATCACAACATTAGGATAAGACAATTAGAAGTTGAACTAATATAAACTAATCATATCATGACGTTATAAACATTTTCTTACTCTCGTCATTCTACATAAATGCTCAAAATCAGACCAAACACATAGCTCATAAAACGTCAATCCGACTTCAGCTGGACTCAAAATGCCTGTTAATAATCCATCTCTCTGTGACAATAGTTGCCTCATGATTCAAAATATCCTCCTGAGGGAGAGGGTCATCAAGCATTTTCTACTGGCTTGTAAGTATTGATGTCCCTTAGCAAGTATTAGGGTATTCTAGCACGAATTAGGACGCTATAATAAGATTGAACGTCTAGTATCTGGTTCATCCACGCTAAGAGCTATATTGTTGTCTAGTAGACGTCTTATAATCAACCAGTAAATGATTTTTTTCAGTAAGCATTGTTTTATTTCCGTCAAGTAAATTCAGTAAGAAGCATAATATATACCCCCCTTGTCATCAATGCAACAATCAATTAGTACCACTAGAACTTCAGTGAGTACCACCACCACATCAATTAATATCACTGCCCTCCAGCTAGAACCATTACTCTTAAAAGAAGCATCTAAACTCATATAAGGAAACCTATCCGTTCAGAAAGCACCTCTAATTCTACCCCTTCATGAAGCCCCACTACCCCTTCCATACCACTATACCAAGTACCTTCATTATTCAGGAAGGTATCAACACCCCCTCTATCACTCCTCCAAATCTAACATTCATTTTTATTCTGCCAGTACCACTACTTCCCATGGCAATTTGTCTTATAATCGCCACTCTCCTTGGGCCGGTATAATCTTAAGTGTTCAGTTTACAATTTGCAGATAAACTGTAACGCTTTGTATTTGTGTCTTCTTACAGGCGTGATTCGGCTTGAGATCCGACGACCACCAAATTTTAGTTTCCAATCCGGTCAATGGGTAAAGATAGCTTCCACTGGGATTGGTGAACAGGTATGACAATCTGGATTAGAAAGAGAGAGAGAGAGAGAGAGAGAGAGAGAGAGAGAGAGAGAGAGAGAGAGAGAGAGAGAGAGAGAGAGAGAGAGAGAGAGAGAGAGAGAGAGAGAGAGAGAGAGAGAGAGAGAGAGAGAGAGAGAGAGAGAGAGAGAGAGGGGTGAGGAGAGTGTGTGTGTATTCACCTAATTGTTCTTGGGGTTTGAGCCTCGGCTCTTTGATCCAATCTCTCAACTGTCAATCAACTGTACAGATTCCTGAGATGTTGGGCTCTATCATAGCTACATTTGATTTTTTTTATTTAGTCTGCCTCCACCACATCATTGCCTACCTTGTGCATTTCATTTAACTAGTCTGACACTAAAAAAGTTCTTTCTAATGTCTCTATGATTTATGTGTGTGTATAAGGGGGTGTGTGTTTGTTTGTTTTGTCAGTGTTTCAAAGCACCAGTGTGCGCATCTGTCATCCACTCTGCTTACGACAGTATCAATTTGTCAGCATGCCAGTCAGTAAATCATCGTAGCCCTGTCTGCCAACATATCAGTCTCTCGGCACGACACCAGCTTGACAGTATCCCGTCATGCCACCATGTAGACTTTCATTGCGACCCTCAGTTATGTAATTTTCTTAGCACGAACATAAACAAAATTCCCAGTGCACGTTAGCTTCCGTATAACCCTCCTCCCGCACCTGCAGGAGTACCATCCCTTCACCCTGTCGTCTGCTCCCCACGAGGAGAACCTGACGCTTCACATCCGTGCCGTAGGCCCTTGGACCAAGAAGTTGATTCAGGTGTATCAAGACCAAGGTCCTCGCACTAAATACCCGCAGGTATGACACTACAAAACCTTTTCCAGTTTTAATAACTACTAATATTCTGAGTATTATTCTAATGTTGTTAGAGCTTCAGAAATTGGTAGAACCTTGGTAAGTACTAAAATGCCTTTAACAGCATGGGATTTGTTGATTTTGAGCGTTAAGAGAAAGCCTTAACGTTAGGGGAAAAGCCTTAGGAAGAAGTGGAATATGAATTTACAAATACAATGAAAAATAGAGTAGTCCTGCTACTAGGAAGTGTTCCCATTTGATATTTCATTTTTTTCTATTTATATCAACTGGCATATTTCGTCAGCACTCACCCAGGTGTTCTTGTGTGAGTTGAGTTCTTGGCCGGGCCTGGACACTCAATCGTCAATCGACTGGAATATGTTTTTGCCATATCTGCATTGGAACTAGAAAATTAAATCTGTCTCCACCACCTTCCTCGATAGTTCTTTCAAGTTCCCTCGTGTAACGCTGAATTAACGTCGAATTAATGTACTCTTTGATATTGTGCCTACTGGGTCTTGACTACTTGACTACTCAGATACTAAAAATACTTTAACACTTCTTTGGCTCATCCAACCAATTGGGCTGGACGGTAGAGCGACGGTCTCGCTTCGACCGGGCCAGCGTTTAATCCCCAACCGTCCAAGTGGTTGGACACCATTCCTTTCCTCCCTGTCCCGTCACAAATTCTTATCCTGATCCCTTCCAAGTGCTATATAGTCGTAATGGCTTGGCTATTTCCCCCCCTTCCCTTCTTTGGCTCATTTGGGTACAAGGTTTACAATGGTGTCCCCTACGTTCGAGCCCCTATCATGATAATTACCCCTATAATTGTTTATTTTCTGTCATAACCACATCATATTTCTTTTCGGTTCCAGTAACCGACAGATTTAGGCCCTTTAACCGCAACCACCCCTTACGGAGATTGGGTGATTACTTATTAATCAATAACTAATCACTCATCTCTGGGTTTAGTCTAGCGAGACATCTCTGATGTCTCTTAGTCTTCGTTTTGACTTTGATTACATGTGGACTCCAGAATGTTTCTTTTTTTTTCAATAATATCAAAGGACTGGTTAAACTAGTTAAAATTAAGAGCAACTTTTAACACCAAGATCTACATGGACGGACCGTTTGGCGAGGGTCACCAGACGTGGTGGGACTACGAGGTGGTGGTCCTTGTAGCTGGAGGCATCGGCGTCACTCCCTTCGCCTCCATCCTGAAGGACATTGCTCACAAGCTGCAGAACTCCAGGACGCTTCTCAAAACCAAGAAGGTAGGTGGGTTCTGGATCTGAGGTACTCTCAGGAGAAAGGTCTACAAAAGCTACGGGTCTATATGGAGCTTAACCTTGTCTTACAGCTCCTTATTTAACCTCCCATATATGTAAATGTACGTGCACACACACACACACACACACACACACACACACACACACACACACACACACACACACACACACACACACCCACACACCCACACACACAGTTCCTCCAAGCTTCCCCAGTATAAAACTGTGTTAAAGGAAGAGCCAAATCGTAACAGGAAAATCCGTGAACCAATTTGCCACAAAGCGTTCTCCTACCTTACATACTCCCCCAATCCCTAATAAAACCCTCCATATACCCGTATAAAACCACGTATCCTCCTTTGGTCGCAGGTAATTTTCCTGTGGACGACGAGGAGCCAGAAGCAGTACGAGTGGATGACCGACATATTGAGGGAGGTGGAGACGCTGGACAGACACAACGTGATCAGGAACCATGTCTTTATCACCCAGTTCAAGAGCAAGTTTGACCTGCGCACCATAATGCTGGTTAGTGGGGAGGGAATGGAGGGAGGTGAAAGGAGAGAGGGGAAAAAAGGGGTAGGTGAAAGGAGAGAGAAGGGGGCGGTATGGGTGAGATAATTCTTGCTTATTCAGCACACACACATGTGGTGGGCTATAGACCTAATACGATCTTTCTCGCTTTGTTTACAGTACCTGGCAGAGAGACACTTCCAGAGGGTATCGGGAACTTCACTCTTCACGGGGCTTCGAGCCATCACTCACTTCAGCAGACCCAACTTCACCTCCATTTTCAAGTCCATCAAGAGCAAGTACAATGACGTGAGTGGGTGGGCAGGAGTGGGTTTGTGTGGGTGGTGGGGGGTAAGTGGGTTTGGGTGAGGGGGGGGGGAATGAACGGTGTGTGGAAAGAAACAGCAATTTGCCTGAGGAATTACCGTCTCCCTAGTCGCCTCGATGAGGACAGGAAGCCAGCGTCTTGTCATACTATTGTTCCTCTTCCCCATTGTTTCTGAGAACTTTTTTCTATCTGAATTTTGAAACTGAAGTAATGACTTGAAATTTTTATCTTCGGCGGGTACGTAGTTCCATGTCGTTTATAACCTCCTATGGGTGAAAACGTCTAGTGTATTCTGTCCTACATTGTGACTTGTTGAGCTTAAAGCCTGTTACAGACCGCACACATACTCTGGCTGTATTTATAGTTTGGCCGGATTCAAAGTCTGGCCGGATTCAAAGTCTGGCCACATTCAGAGTCTGGCCACATTCAGAGTCTGGCCACATTCAGAGTCTGGCCACATTCAGAGTCTGACCACATTCAGAGTCTGGCCACATTCAGAGTCTGGCCACATTCAGAGTCTGGCCACATTCAGAGTCTGGCCACATTCAGAGTCTGACCACATTCAGAGTCTGGCCACATTCAGAGTCTGGCCACATTCAGAGTCTGGCCACATTCAGAGTCTGGCCACATTCAGAGTCTGGCCACATTCAGAGTCTGGCCACATTCAGAGTCTGGCCATATTCAGAGTACTGGCTGTAACCTGGAATATCCAAAATATATACAGCTATAGCAGTATGGGAACTGGCCCCTCCCTCTCGTGCAAAACAGTAAATTGCTCTCAAAACTATGCGCTGCAGAAAAAAATGGTGAGTAACAACTGAGACATATGCAAGCCTGTGAGACACATAAGTCAGTGAGGAATATACAAGCAATTGAGCAACATGCAAGCTAGTGAGATACATACGAGCCAGTGAGGCATGCAAGCCAATGAGACACATACAAACCAACGAGGAACATACAAGCCAGTGATGTACATAAGCCTGCGAGACATATAAAATCCAATAAGCAACATACAAACCATTGAGACATATAAGCCAGTGACACACTTACAAGCCAGTGAGACACATACAAGCCTTTGAAACACATACATATCTGTGAGATACACACAAACTAATGAGACATATATAAACCAGTGTGACACATTCAAGCCTGTAAGATACACACAAGCCAATGAGACATATATAAACCAGTCTGACACATACAAGCCACTAGGGAACTGACAAACAAGTGAGGCATACAAATGAAAGACCAAAGTTACGCAAGACAGAAAGTTCCACTCAAAACAACAAGTTGCCACCCAAAACGCAATGTTGCACGCAATAAAGTCACTTTCAAAGCCAAACAACTCACGTCACAGGTCAAGTAGCAAGATGTATCTCTCTCTCTCTAACCTCCTCTCCCAACCCTTCCTCTTCCTCCCCGTCCCCCTTACAGAGGAGATCTCGCTTCTACCCCACTCATTATCCACTCCAATAACTTCAAAACACTTCAACGTACCGTTACAAAAAAACACACACAAAAACACTCTCCTATCTCACTCCTTCTGTCCAATGTCTTCACTAAATGCTTCACCGCGAAATATCTACACCCTCTTCGTATTGTGTCGCAGCAGCAATATTTCCCCATCCAGAGCCCCCTTCCTGTCGTTGGCATTCACGGTGAAGAGGGTGTCCTGGGGCGGAATGGGCTGGAATACCAGAAAACACCGTAAAAATAGAGTATGAAAGTGTGGTGAATGAAAGGAGAGGTAGAGTGAAAGAGGAAGAACGGGTTCACACACACACACACACACACACACACACACACACACACACACACACACACACACACACACACACACACAGAAAGAGCTATTTTTAACACGGAGATGAAATAAGCAAAAATGCGAGTGGCGATGGTTGAGATGTCAAATAGAAGGGAGGAAAGAGAAGGCTCAAGAGGTTGATAAAGTAGAAGAAAAGGAGGAGAATGGGAGAAGTAGAAGATAGAAAAAAAATTGAGGGAGTAAATTTTACCATAAATAACTCTCAAATTCAGATATGTTGTTGTGAATAAAATTAATGACTTATTTATATGCCAAGAACATAATTTATTATATAATGTCAATATCTCACGGTACTTTTTTGTTTTTTGTATATATCCTTCCAGGCATCAGTTGTGGGTGTGTTCACATGCGGGAGTCCAAACTTGAGTCAGTCAGTTGAACACGGCTGCCAAGAGATCAACAAGGAAGAAGGCCCCGTCTTCAGACACTATTATGAAAACTTTTAAATGTAGTCTTCACACACTACTTACACTCACAGCTGCAACTACTGCGACTGCTACCTTCCTCTTTTATACCTACTGCCATTGTTTGCATTACCTTCCATCCCTACAACTGCTGCGACTATCCATTCGACATTCGAGAGAGAGAGAGAGAGGAGAGAGAGAGAGAGAGAGAGAGAGAGAGAGAGAGAGAGAGAGAGAGAGAGAGAGAGAGAGAGAGAGAGAGAGAGAGAGAGAGAGAGAGAGAGAGAGAGAGAGAGATCATGTAGGAAAGGGCACGTCAACACGAAAACTTTGTTGGATTCTGTCAACAGAAAGTCTGATTTACAACGAGTTTGGATTTCTCAACTGGAGTTACCATCAACTTTCACTGACACGATGTTCTCATGTCGAACCGTCTATTTTACTCTCCTAGATTTATTTTTCCTGTCTCTTTCTTGTCTATGTTATCTCTTCGTCTCTCTTGTCTATGTTTTGTCTCCTTCTCTCTTGTCTATATTACATGTCTCTCTGTTTCTGTCAAACTGTCTCTGTTCATTTGTGTCCTCGTCTGTAGCTCTGTTTTTCTGTATTTTCCGCTACCGATTTCTGTTTTTCTTCCCGCTAATGATGTCTCTGCACCCGTAAAGAAGTGGAATAAAACTATTAATATTGTCGATAATGTTTGAATGTTTATTATTAGATATATTGTTACTCCCGATTTTGTTTTTCGTCATCAATTCCTTATATTTGGTTTATCTATTACGTTCCGCCAAAAGTAGTTTAGGTTATATTTTAAAAGCATCTTTGCTCATTTTAATATAGGTTAGTTTTAATTGTATATTTAAGGTATATTGTATGAGAACTAAGCTTATTACTTTAATTTTTTTGGTGCTTTGAAATATACGAAGAAGAGCTAACTCTTATTTCGTGACGCAAGCTTGATATTGATGACGCATTTATGACGTCAATTTCATGTTTAGAAATTACACATGACGTCACATTTCACCTTTTGGACGCATTTGTGACGTACCATTTCACCTTCATGACGTGTTTATAACGTCAATCAGTACGGGTTAAAACAATTGACATTTATCAGTCCTCGACGCTGGTTAGTCCATCACTTTGTTCCACGTATTCACTTGCTTTGTTTTAATTAAACATTCTGCTGAATTTGCTATTTGGTGTATTTGTCTTATGCTCAATAAATCCTTCTTGAAAA